GGGGATGGGGAGGGGTTGGAAGGTGGGGTGGGAACCTGGTGGAGGGGGGAAGAAATGAGGAATCTTTGTAATAATATGAACAATAAAGATTGATTCAAAAAATAAATAAATAAATAAAAATAAATAAATTAATGTTAAAAAAAAAAAGAGCTACCAGCCAACCTCATATACACGGTGTCCCCCAAAAATGTATACACACATTTTGAAGAATTATAAAAGCAGCGTTTATTAAAATACATTTCCTTTTCAAAATTGAGCTCTCAGCTGTTACAGTGTGTGTACATATTATAGGGAACACCCTATTTTTGTTAGTACTCCAAAAATGTCCCGAAGTGTCATACAGCTCCCTGCTCTGTATTAGAGGCCGGTCACAAGTGTCCACTGCAGATTGTTCACATTTCTCCGTGGCCAGGCCACACTCTGGGTTGTCAGTGCTCTCTTTACTCCTGGAAATGGAGTCCTTCGCTGTTGTTGTTTAAATAAATGTTTCCAAATTCTTGTACAAAAAGACTGTTGTCCTTCTCCGGAGGCATTCTTACATTTTCTCCATTGCCACTCATTAATTCAAAGCCTTTTTGGAACCTTGTTGTTTTTCATTCAGAAACCTTCGGAAAACAGCTGGCCCATTCAATAAATAGTTTTGAACTTCTTAAAGAAATTCAGCTTTCAACATCGGTGGCTGCTGTTAAGCTTATGTGAACTCTTTGGGAAATTCTAAAGAAAATGTCTGAACAGAGCAAATACTGTCATCCTGGTGGTTGAGATGGGGTATCAAGACGGGCTTCTTAGCTTAGAGGAGCTGATGTGGAGGCTTTTGAAGAAGTGAGAACCTGCGTAACAGCTGGGGAAAGAAGAGACCAGGTGGGGAAAGGACAGAATGAACCCCAGGAGCAAACCATGAAGTCATGATGCTCGTGGGAACTGTAAGCAGCTCATTAAAGTGGAGGTGAGCTTGGTAGAGAAAGTGGATCTTGAATAGACAATACAGACTTGGAGGAGATGGGAAGATGTTGATGGGTAATTAGGAGAGTCACCGAAGACAACCTGAGGCTGGAACACAAAAGGCCTTGTACTCTGCTGTGGAGTTCATTCACATGCTTCTCTTTAGGGATCCTCCTTGAAAGGGTCATGTGTCACGGTCATGTTGGCCCTGGCAGGTCATGCTTTCATTATTTTACCTTGCACACTCTACTGTTATTATCTATTGGCAGTACTTCCCTGTGCTTTTTCTTTTCTTAATTCCCAGAGGCAGGCCCCAGTGTCTGGTTGATCTTGGTCTCTTGTAAGAGGTGGCATCTTCCCACGTGTCATTGGGGTCCTTTCAGCATTTCCCCCTGTAAGCAAACTAGGCAGGTGACCACATTACCTCCGGGAAGCTGACTTCATCTCCCAAGGCTTTCCAGAGCGAATTGAAATCTTGGATTGGTGTTCGTGTGTCTGCTGGCACCCTCTAGCGGTGGATTTCAGCCTAAGCAAATTAAAATTTCGTCTTTGATAACCATGGTTTCAAATAAGCCTGTTACGTTTTGTAAGGGACTGAAACATTGTATTTAATATCGTATTTGGATGAACCTTTGACTTTCTTCTCCAAGCTAATAATTATGCCTGTGGTCGTTCTGTTCGTGTGTTTTCAATGTCACCTGGAATTTTTGATGAACAAAATCATTTAATTTGAAATAAAATGAATTTTGGAGAAAGTACATGATTAGACAGACCTGGACTCTTAGAACATTCTAATCTCATGTGTTATTTGCTGTACCTCTTAATCATCAAGTTCCAGACTTATGAGGTAATTTTTTCTAGTATCCTTCTCTCTTTTCCTCTTCCTCCTCCTCCTCCTCCTCCTCCTCCTCCTCCTCCTCCTCCTCCTCCTCCTCCTCCTCCTCCTCCTCCTCCTCCTCCTCCTCCTCCTTCCTCCTCCTCCTCCTCCTTCCTCCTCCTCCTCCTCCTTCCTCTCCTCCTTCTCCTTCTCCTCCTTCTCCTCCTTCTCCTCCTTCTCCTCCTTCTCCTCCTTCTCCTCCTTCTCCTGCTTCTCCTGCTTCTCCTCCTCCTCCTCCTCCTCCTCCTCCTTCTCCTCCTCCTTCTCCTCCTCCTCCTCCTCCTCCTCCTCCTCCTCCTCCTCCTCCTCCTCCCCCTTCCTCCCCCTCCTCCCCCTCCTCCCCCTCCTCCTCCTCCCCCCCCTCCCCCTCCTCCCCCTCCTCCTCCTCCCCCTCCCCCTCCCCCTCCCACTCCCCCTTCCTCCCCCTTCTTCCCCCTCCTCTCCCTCCTCCCCCTCCTCCCCCTCCTCCTCCTCTTCTTCCTCCTCCCTCTCTCTCTCTCTTCTCTTCCCTTCCCTTCCCTTCCCTCCCCTCCCCTCCCCTCCCCTCCCCTCCCCTCCCCTTCCCTCCCCTCTCCTCCCCTCCCCTCCCTTCCCTTCCCTTCCCTTCCCTTCCCTTCCCTTCCCTTCCCTTCCCTTCCCTTCCCTTCCCTTCCCTTCCCTTCCCTTCCTTACTTTTTCCCTGTGTGGACAGTGTTTTGTAAAGCTAAAAGAATCCTGTTTAAAAAAAAAAAAAATTCTTATCCTTGAAGACAGCTGTTGAGCATGTCATGCAAATTTGAAGGTTAAGCTAGAAAGGCTGGGTAGTGAGCCTTCACTTTATATTACTTTTGTGTGTGTTTGAACATGAGCTGTGTGGGCATTTTTCTTGTGACTAGCCGCTAGTTTATTGGCACAAGCAATTTATGATCGCCAAATTAATTCCTTGTGTGGCAGGGATCACTGTGATTTAAGTAGCAATGATAATAAAATGAAAGCATTTATTAAAAATCTCCTTCCTGCATAGCATAATTGTGAACATAAAATTACCTCTTTTTTAAAGTCCTTGCACAATGCCAAGGGGCGAGGGGTGTAATTATCACCATCTCACAGATGAAGAAGCTGGAACACCTGGAGGCGAAGTGGCTCTCCCCAGGTCTCTCGGTTACTAAGTGTGCAGTGTGAGCATTCAGGCCCAGATGCAGGGGGCTTGCAGCCACCCTTAAACGTGCTCACAGTCGGTGCACGCACAGGAAAACCACTGCAGAAAAAGGCACAGAAAACCCTGGCTGGCTCCTAGCCCCTATTTAAATATACACCCACCACTTGATAAACATCTTGGTTTTAATTTTCTGTCGACATGATCAACATCTGTTTGTTTCCACTCCTAATTATAGCCATAGCCACAGCCTTCGCTGCCCTGCAAAGGAAGTTGAAGGTACTTTTTGGCCTTGTGGTCCCAAGGCTTAGTTAGTTCTTGCCTTGCTGCACTGGCCCCACAGCAAGCGTGTTGGAGACACGGCTGCTGTCCAGGTCAGCGTTGGGGCCCTGCAGCGCACCCTGCATGCTGCTCTCGGAAGTGACCCGTGTGTCTGCCTGTGGCTCTCAGCAGGTGGAGTGGGATGGTGGCAACCAATTGTCCATGTGGGTGTCGGCCTAGCGCTGGCTCATATATGTTTATATGTGTGGGTTGATAGGTACATAGTGACTATGGCTGGGTTTTCTAAATTTAAAATTTTTTTCTTTGTACATATAGGCACATATATTTACAAAGAAATGTAGGCATTGGTTTTTGTTTTTCACTCTTTTTTCCTTTGTTCCTATCGCTTCCTTCCAACTGCCCACGTGGCCTTCCTCCTCCTTACCTTATCATATGTATAAAGCAGCGGTCACCAACCTTTCTGACTACCAGTTGGCGACCCCTGAAAAAAGGATACAAAAGACATAGCATGCAGTCTTCCACTTTCCCATGCTTGTGTAATCATGTAGAAAATATATCTATGTGCATTTACATGTAACAATCATATATGGGGTGGCTTTTTAGCCTTTTATGGTAAAACTAGAGGTCCAGTGCACGAAATTCATTTGCTGGTAGGGTCCCTAGCACCTGCCAGCTACCAGCCAGGGCCTCCCTCCCTTTTCCCAGCCAGCCCTGCCCCCTGGTCGAACTCCAGGACACCTCCCCATTGAGGGGACATTTTTGCATACTATGCTTTTATTATATAGGAAGGTGGGATCATATTATAAAAACTTCTTAAGATCCATATACCTTACAACTAGTTATCCCATTCTGGTGATCTGTCCCATAGAAATTCGTAAGGTTTTTTGTTTGTTTTTTAATATATTTTTATCGATTTCAGAGAGGAAGGGAGAGGGAGAGAGAGACAGAAGCAACAATGATGAGAGAGAATCATTGATTGGCTGCCTCCTGCACTCCCCCTACTAGGGATGGAACCTACAACCCAGCATGTGCCCTTGATCAGAATCGAACCCAGGACCCTTCAATCTACAGGCTGACACTCTATCCACTGAGCCAAACCAGCTAGGGCTGATTTGTAAGGTTTTGTGTCAAGAGTGTTTTCTACGATGTTACTCAAAATAGCAGGAAGGAAGGGGGATGGTTAAATAAATAATGACCTGTCTACCCAATGAGATTTTAGGCAGTTGTTCAAAAATTGGATTTGACTTATGCCAGAATCATCTCCTCTGCCATCCTCTCTGTTATGGATTCACTGTTTTTATCCCTTTTCTGACATTTGAATGGGGTTTCAAGAGGGAAAAGAAATACATGTAGTTGGACCTTTTTCTGTATCATTGAAAATCTGGTTCAGTTGATGCAAGACCTGGTTTAACTTAATTTTTCTTCCTAGAACTCTTAGGTTGTCTTCAACTGTGTGAAGACAACCCCCCACCCCCTCTTCTTACTGTGCCTTCTCTATTTTAGAAATTGGGAATCCCCCCCCCCCCACCGAATGAAATTCTTTCTTGGCTTCTGACCCCTCCTGGGCCTTCCCAGCAGCAGCATCTCAACCCAGCCTCCAACAGTCATATCGAAACTGTAAACTCAAAACCAAGGAGATGGCAGGTTGCAAATTGTGTGCCTGTGGCGTTTGGGTTTTCTTGGAGAGAAGAAACTCACAGAAAAAAGAAGTAGCATCTCTGTGTAACCACAGCTTTGTCTTCCTTTTCTTTTACTTCTGCACAGGTTTGAAAAGGGGCGCATCTACACATTCATTGGAGAAGTTGTCGTTTCTGTAAATCCCTACAAATCGCTCAACATCTATGGGAGGGAGACGATTGAGCAGTATAAAGGACGGGAGCTGTACGAGAGGCCGCCGCACCTGTTTGCTATTGCCGATGCTGCCTACAAGGCCATGAAGAGGCGGTCCAAAGACACTTGTATTGTGATATCAGGTATTTTAGGGAAGGGGTCTCCTGTACTGCCAAGGTTAGACTGTATTTCACTTGTTTGGTACTCAAGGATCCAAATGTTTCATCAGATCTTTTTTTGAAGTTAGAAACGTAAGCAATTTTTAGAAGGAAAAAAAATGTGATGAACATACTAAATTATTTATATCATTTCCGACCGCATTCTAGTCTTGGTTCAATTACAAAATACATGTTACGTTTGGATGGACCTCTAGACAGTTTTGTAGACTGAGTTGCCAAGGTAATTCCTTCCATCTCAAATAAAAATACTGAACAAATCGTAACAAAAGTTACTTTAGGTCAGTAGTCGACAAACTCATTAATCAGCAGAGCCAAATATCAACAGTACAACGATTGAAATTTCTTTTGAGAGCTGAAAACCAACTTCAGCGCATGGGCCACAAAGTTTCAATCGCACTGTACATGCGCGCCTGCACGTGGTATTTTGTGGAAGAGCCACACTCAAGGGACCAAAGAGCCGCATGTGGCTCGAGAGCCGCAGTTTGCTGACCACTGCTTTAGGTAGGGACAGAGTGAAACCGAGAAAATGAAATCTTGGACCAAGAATAAGAGAATGAACTAGTGTTGAGGGGTGAATGGCAGCTAGTGTTGAGGGGACCCTGAAATGGGCTCAGAGAGCTGGGGGTGCTCCACAGGAGGGAGACGGACCCCAAAGGCCCAAGGAGTGGAGCTGAGCTCTTCAAGGAATCTCATGCAGGAAAATGCCTGCCCACCGACCCAGGAGGGCCTCCCCCAAACTGTGGAAACTTCTTGTGGTGCTAATGGCACCGCACGTTTTGCATGAGTGGCTTTATACTTTTAAAAACACTTTTATGATTTTTATTCCATTTTGATTATCGAAACAGCTCTGAGTGGTAGGTAAAGCAGTTGTGTTTCTACTTCAGAGAGGAGGCTATCTAGGGTCAGAAGAGTTCAGTCAGACTACATTTTGTGCAAATAAACTATGTCCAACAGAATTGTTTGATTGTATTAAGTGAACACAAAAAGTCCCTTCCCTTAGAATATCTCCCCAACCCCCCCAAAAAAAGAATAATTTCAAGCCGAAACACTGTGAACAATAAATAGTGTTTATCCTTTTATACCTTTCCTTTCATGTACAAATATGTAGAGTTACACATGCATATATAAGTATGTTGTAAATGCACAATTATAGAATTATGTGATAGCTGCTATTAATACATTTCACTTAACAATATATAATGGACATCTTTTCATTAGAGTACTATAGAAAGAGTGCATTCTCTGACAATTGTGTAGTAGTCTACCGAATCCTAGTTTATTTCCCCTGTCTTCCACTATGATTTTAGATATGATATATAGCCAGCAAAAAGCCCTTTGAAAAGTATGATGATTATTACTATATTACTATTTTATTATTTCCACAGTATAAATTTCTACAGGTAGAATTTGGGGGACAGAGGCATAAACATTTAAAAATTGGGGGTAGGTAATTAAAAATTGACCTTTTCTCCCCCCTTTTAACAGTTGTCATGTTTTTCAGTGATACCATGGGTCTGAAGCTTGCTTGCTGCCTGTTTCGTTGTTGTTTTTTTTTTTTTTTTTTTTTTTTACCAAAATTGCTCTAATTTTCATTTTCTGAAAGGATTATTTTGTCCTCAGTAAGATGAAAGGAAATACTGTTATAGAAAAAAAGGTAATATTCATTTAGCTGTGGCTACTGTTTGAATCCCTGCAAAGTAATTTTCCACGAGACAAGAATCACTGCAAAGGGCTAAGGAATTAGTTTATCATATTTTAGCTCACGATTTTTTTTTTTACACTAAATACATCTTGATTTGTAATCTATTTGTTACTTCACTTCTACAAATGTTCTTATTTTTTTTTCCAACATGGCTACAACCTTACAAATCCAATACCACATCAAGACAGGATGACAAAACTCAAAAAAAAAAAAAAAAAAAAAGGCAAACAGTGAAACATAGGGATTTTAAATAACTAACACCACAATTTTAAATTATCCCATTAAAAATGAGCTTGCTTAAGCCTGGCAAAATTTTCCCTCCAGGGGAGAGTGGAGCTGGTAAAACCGAAGCCAGTAAATACATCATGCAGTATATTGCGGCCATCACCAACCCCAGCCAGAGAGCCGAGATCGAAAGGTAAGGGTGACCCCCTAACGGGGAGAAATTCTTATTAGAGTTTTACTTTCTACATAGAATCGGCTAGAACTAAACTCTGGTATGTAGCAACCATTTATTGATGATAAACTGCTTTGATTCTCCTATCGCATGCTGTCTCTACTCTTTTTTATATCACTCTATCTATATTTGTTTTATTTTTAAATATATTATTGATTTTGGAGAGGGAGAGAGAGAGAAACATCAACGACAAGAGAGAATCATTGATTGGCTGCCTCCTGCACACCCCCTACTGGGGATCAAGCCTGCAACTAGGGCATGTACCCTGATAGGGAATCAAACTGTGACCTCCTGATTCTTAGATCGACACTCAACCACTGAGCCACGCCAGCTGGGCTCTGTATCTGTTTTTAATAGGAAAAAAAAAAAAAGCTGACTATTGAGATATAGGCTTTACATAAAGGTAAATAAGATTATTCTGAAACAGATGAAAGTGTCTCTTTTTTAGTTTATAACTGCTTCCTTAATGGTTGTATGTGGTCAGCAAAGACACTATAATTCACACTGGCAGTTTTTATGGTGCAAATGCTCACAGGTTTTCTTGTTCTTTCTATTTCTATGTCTTTTTAAAGTGATGTTCTGAGAAGCCCTAGGTTCCTGAGCCTGCAGGGGGCTCTGGAAGGCAGATCCATGCCATCATTATTACAACTAGAACTTTTGAATGTAGACATTCTACGTATGATTCATTTTCTGAAAGGGTTTCAGCCACCACAGACTGCCAGTCACTGCAAAATGAGTAATAGAGCCCCAGGGCACAGTCTGGGCCCATCGTTAGCATCATGTCTGCAACATAGTATTTACATTATACATGTGTAAGGAATGAATGGATGGGTTTTTTATTTAGTTTTTGTTTGTTTTAAAAAATAAAAATATGGTGTTTTTATTTTATTTTAGAGAAGAAAGGAGAGGGAGTGAGAGAGGGGGACATTGATGTGAGAGAGAAACAGCGATCAGTTGCCTCCTGTATGTCCCCCAACAGGGATCACACCCACAACCTGGACATGTGCCCCACCCGGGAATCAAAGCGATCCTGTGGTGATTGGGGCCACGCCCAACCAACTGAGCCACACTGGCCAGAGCTAGATGCATTTATTTTAAAAGAAAAAAAGAAATGTGGCTATAAAGCAACATGACTCAACTTCAAAAAGTGGTGTGGACTTTTTGAAGAGAAAAAAGGATTTTTCAGAGCTGCTACTTTGAAACTCAATATTCCCTCACTGTAGAGCACCACTCCATATACATATCTCCATCTTCAATTTTATGAATAGAAAAAAGGGATGCTGAGAGAAGAGAATTTAGAGTACACTACCCGATGTAGGCTTTCTTCTTTTTGTTGTAATTGGGCTGGATGGTCAAGTCAGAAGATAAGTTTTTATTCATTGTGACATTTCCCACTTCTCATTCTGGCTTTGCAATTTAAATAAGACAAAAATATAAGTTTTTAAATTTTCCTTAAGAGCTCAGGAGAATAACTGGCTAAGAACGAAATTGATTTTATGTCCAAACCCAGTTGGTGTAGTGGAATATGGCATACTAGAGGTCCAGTGCACAGGTAGAATCCCTAGGCCTAGCTGGCGATCAGGGCTGATCAGGGCCTTCTGGCTGCCAGCCAGGGCCTTCCTCCAGGCTGCCAACACGGGCCTCCCATCCCCGGTTGTGCCAGTTACTCCTGCAGGTATGTGCATATGAGAGGAATTCTGTCCGTGAAATAAAAAAGACATAATAATAGCATGAAGTTAAAATATGTCTGTCAGGAGAGACTGCTCTGTAGAATGGAAGGATAATGACCATTAAAAAATGAATTAACTGCCCAGCCAGCTTGGGTCAGTGGTTGAACATCAGCCTATGAACCAGGAGGTGACAGTTTGATTCCCAGTCAGGGCACATGCTTGGGTTGCAGGCTCGATCCCCAGTAAGGGTTGTGCAGGAGGCAGCCAGTCAAGGATTATCTCTCATCATTAATGTTTCTATCTCTCTCTCCCTCTCCTTTCCTCTCTGAAATCAATAAAAGTATATATATTTTTAAAAATGAATTAACTGATACAAGAGAGATGCCACAGAGCTTCAAATGAAACAATGAACAACTTCTAAAATAATAAAGACCATACTGATGGTATATAAGTAAGTGCAATTAATTTCACAGTTCTAGGCTTTATGAGCAAGTACTTTTAGAAATTGTATCATTTTCTGTCTCACCCTTTCAGAGCACACTGTTTTAAGATTATTCTTTATGTAAATAAAGCATGTTTATTTAAAAGAAAAACTATAAATGACAGCATGACGTTGAAGGTGAACATTCCCTGAAATCCCACCCTATCTACCTCATCAGCCTAGGGAACCATAGTGAAGTGTACGATTTCCTCTAGATTTGTTTTAAGCATTTTCTAACACATGTTCATGAGCAAATTCACTCACATATGTGTACACACACACACAGAAACAAGATCCTGCAATACCTATTATATTGCAACTTAACCTCTCATTCATTAATATATTCTGGACATTTTTCTATATCAGTGTATGTTATACTGGGAAACTAATTTGTTTCTATTCATCCCTATTGATAGACATTTAGGTTGTGTTTGTGGGGCAGGCGTGTACACTGTGTAGCAAACAGTGCTGGAGTAAACATCTTTGTATAAATATTTGCATGCCTTTTAGTGAAGTCTAGTTTGTTTTTTAAGGCCCAGCCTTTAAAACTTTTTATAATGACTTTGATTTGTCTTTGTTCAAGGGTGAAGAATATGCTACTTAAGTCCAACTGTGTCTTGGAAGCTTTTGGAAATGCCAAAACCAACCGCAATGACAACTCAAGCAGGTTTGGGAAATACATGGATATCAACTTCGATTTCAAGGGAGACCCTATTGGCGGACATATCAGTAACTACTTACTCGAGAAGGTAAAATGTGCTTGGCCTCCAGGGGTAATATTTATAAGTGCTGAAAGTTGTTTTTATAAACCTGGCTATAGAATTTCTTTAACTGCTTCAAAGTAGCTTTTAATCCAATTCTCCCTCTCTTTCTGCTCCTCAGTTAGCTTCCTGTGACAAAATAGCCTCTTTTCATGTTCTTTTATTAGCATGTACAATAGGAAGTTCAACAAAGTTACAGATTTTGTAGGTAAAGATTTAGATGTGTGTGTGGGAGGGGTGGGGGTTGTCTGCAAGTGTGTGCCTATTTCTGGGTAAGTTTTAACCAAACACCAATCTAGGACTAATCATATCTACCCTTTTTATATATCACCACCTCCCATATCTTTTTTTTGGGGGGAGGGGGGTTGTTTGTTTGTTTGTTTTTAATGCTTTGCAGAAGAATTATTGTGTTCATTCTCTGAACGACACTCTTTTCAAACAAGTATGTCCATACTCTTTTAAATTGAGATATAACTGCCATATAGCATGGTATAGGTTTAAGGTATACAACATATTGCTTTCCTACTTCCATGTGTTTTACTTCCAATTAATTTGAAATCTCAGTTTCTTCTTGTTTCTATTTGTAGCACTCTTTATGGCAGTACAATGCAGCATAGTCCATTTTTGTTACGTTGAAGTCAGACTAGTAAGGAAATTATGTGTTTCTATCAGAGGCAGTTTAAAAAGGACAGGAAATGCCAGGTGTTATCAGGGTTTTTCCAAATGTTTCATGGCTTCACTTCACATACATATTGAGTCAAGGGTTCCCCTGCGAATGAACATAAACGTTCATAGTAGCAGCCTCTTCTTAGCACTCTTTTGGGAACCGTGTCAGGCAGGGGTCTCTGTAGACTGTTCTTACTCAACTGATTCTATTACATAATGTAAGGCATTGCTCTGCAGAAGGGAATATTGAGACTATTCATCCCTAATTGCTCCTTCCTATTCTCTCTACTTCCCATTTTTCCTCCCTTAAAAAAAAAAAATCATCTTTAGGGTCAAGAACTCTGTTTCAAGCAGTAAAAAGAATTATCAAAAAATTGCACAGAAAACCCCACAAAGGAGACCTTGTTCGATGGTACTGCCCATGGGGTCCTCGGGACATTTACACACACGGTTAATACAGGACTCCCCGAGGGGGTGGCTCCTGTTTGGTTTTAGGAGCACATTCTCAAATTAACCATTTTAATTTGTTTGTTTCCTAGTCTCGAGTGATTGTGCAACAGCCAGGAGAAAGGAGCTTTCATTCTTTCTATCAGGTTAGTAATCTGTGGTGCAGATAATGGATCATTTGTTCAGTGTATGTCGGGGTTCTCCCCTGTCCTGTGCCTCCATTGGTCCATGACACAGCACACTCATGCACACATCCTACCCCATGTGCTTCCCCAGAGATTTGATTAGCGCGACAAAGAGCTGCCAGGGGGGTAAACAGCCAGATGACTGCCTTGGTTGAGCAGCACCTGCATTTCTTTGCAGTGTAGCTTACAGTTAAGTGATGTGTAAAAGCTTTTTGAAATGGGACATCCTGAATGTATTAAATTAATTTTGTTTTATTTTAAATTGAAGCTGTTCAATTTGGGAACTTAGAGGTAGGAGCACAAACTCAGTTTATTTTGCTCTGGGAGACTATAAAGTGATATGAGTACTTAAAAAATGAATTTAGATTCAAGAGAATTATTGTCTTTATTCCATCAAAGCTCTGATTGCTTAGGGGGGGGAAAAACTATGAATACCTCTTCTGGGAATGCTCTTAGCGCCTAAGACAGAATCTTTTACAATAGCCCTCCTGTTGGCAAGACTTTCTACTGAAAAAAAACAAGTCTGATACATTATTATACTCTTTTAGAGCCCATTGTAATATAAACCAGTGCTTATAAATTAACTGGGTGACCAAATTAAACAATACTATCATGGATTTTTATAAAATAAAATTATAAATCACTAAGATTGATTTCCACGTGTAAACTTTCAGTTATCCAATTGTCCTCCTTGCCTGAGACCCAGAGATGGATGAGGAAAAGCTGGGGTTTTTTCATTGTGATTCAGCCTATGACTCTGGTACCTCTTACTTCCACGGCAATATTGACTTTTTCTGAATTCTCAAACACAACTCCAACCTGTCTGGGTATTGAGGCTGCTAAGCAAGTAATCAGCATAGATCCTGGGCTCCTGTTTTACAAATGACTATAGGAAAAACCTCTTATGCCAGTTTGTTGTGAAAGCCCTAAGAGTTTTAAAGTTATTTTCTTCATGATCGTATAACATTCTCCATGACTGATAACTACTGAAGTCATTTACCTTTAGTAGGTAAAAAAGAAAAAAGAAACAAAAGAAAACTTCAAAGCCAGAAACAGGAGGACCTCAGTAAATAAAGCCCAGAAAATGAATAAAAGCTCGATTGCCATGGTCAGAGCATCTGGAATATTTAATATAGTATGTGTTTGGCTCATTTACTTTATATTATTTTTCAGCTACTCCAAGGAGGTTCGGAACAGATGCTCCGCTCTTTGCATCTCCAGAAATCTCTTTCATCCTACAACTATATCCATGTGGGAGCTCAGTTAAAGGTGAGCATTTCCTCTCTGAGATTGTTCAGGTACAGAATTAGAGAATGGGAGGGGACCTTAAATAATTATCTGGTCCAGCCTGCTGCCTTTAGGCAAATGAACGATTCTTCCCTTATTAAAATCCTCAGGGGCAGAGAGGCAATTCATGATTGACTCAACAACTTTGCCTAATAACCCATTACTTTATCTTATCACCATCTGACAGGAAGTTTCTCTCTTGTGATCTGTGGTTTCTTTTAACTTTTAATCCCCTTCTTTTATTTTGACACTATAAAAATGTTAAAATGATTAGGAAATCCACCTCAAAAGAAAATACCATGTGATTTGGCCAAAGGCAAGTTAAGACAAGAGAAAATTTAAGAGCGTTTTTTTTTGGTTAAAGTGACTATCAAAGTTCTCCATTCACTATGTTTTCAGCTATTGATGTAGCCTAGCAGTAATTTTGTGACCCTTGCAGCATTTCCGCTTAGCTTTGACACCTTTTTTCGCCCCCTCCCTCGCATGTGAGTCCTTGCACACAATGCAGATACTCTCTGCTTTTATTTTGTTGGTTTTCCGCTGGTCATTTTTCAGCTAACCCTAATAATAATAGTTTGTTGATGGTAGAATATGAAACAGTAGTCACAGTATTATCCTGATTTTTTTTTGAGGGAAGGTACTGTTTACAAATACCTAAAATATGGCATATAGAGAAATAGGTCAACATTTTGTTTATTCTGGATTGAAGATGATATTTGTGTTCTGCTTTTCCATATTTTAAATGTCTTCTATAATTAAAAATGTATTGGGGGAAAAAATAAAAGAATTTATAAAAGGCAAGGATCTAAGATGTGGGAGGTGTTCTTTTTATTTAAAATGTTTATTATTCATCTTAAGCTGATGATACCTGCATCATTGACTTACTTGTATTTTTATTGCCGTGCATAGAAATACATTGTATTTAGGGTTTTGCAATTTTCCATCGTTTGACATTTAAGTTGCATGATTTTTTTTTTAACTTTTACATTTATCAGAGAACAGGGTATTTGGCCAGAAATTAATTAAAAGCAAACAAAACATTAGAAGATAACACTTCAGCTTCTGAGATAGGCCAGAGGTGCTAAAGATACAATCAACACTTAAAAAACATTCCTTTTTATCAAATTGTCTTATGGATCAAATTACTTTTGGCCAGGTCATACAGAGCCCCTCCCCCAACCAGTTCCCCACTCCTCTCTTCCCCCAAGAAAGCAAGAATTAAATGAACATTTAACCTTCTCTCTAAGCTAAATTTAGTTTAGGTTCCCTTTTCATCAAAGTTCTCCATTCTTACTCTTCATTTCTTCCTCTCTCTAATAAAAACAGCCTCTACTCAAAAAAGATTAATCTGAAGGAAACAAAAATATGCTAAAGCCTACCATCCCAAAATAATTATTGATCACAGTTTATGTGTAACCTCTGATACTTGTCCAGTGCTTTTTATGTGTTAAATTCTCATTCAGTTCTGTAAGAAATGTGTTGTTATGCCCATTTTACCCATGAAGAAATTGAGACTCAGTGAGGTGAGGTATCTTGCCCAAGGTCAAAGAACAGGTAGGTGGAGGATCTTGCATGTTTGTGTCCCAGACAATGGAGGACCCCTTTCTCAGCAGGTGAGAAACTTGCCAGGAAAAGGGCTAGCTGGGCCTGCCAACCACTGCTTTGGGAGAACTTCAAAGATAGGCAGTTGGCATTGCTTCCTTGTGAATTTCTGTTAATACACTTACATTCCTAACCTGATGGCTATAGCTTCTCAAGGCTTAGTAAAGTCAGCTGCTACAACAAAAATACCCTAAGCTGGTTGGCTTACAATACACAACAGATGTTTATTTCTCACAGGAGGGCAAGTCCAAGATCAAGGTGCCTGCTGATTCAGTGTCTGGTGAAGGCCCGCTTCCTGGTTTATTGATAGTGCCTCCTCGCAGGGCAGGAAGGACAACGAATGTCTGTGCCTCTTTGATAAAAGGGCACTAACCCCATCGTGAGGGCTCCACCCTCACGATCTCATCACTTTCCAAAGGCCTTACCCCCTAAAGTCATCACCTTTGGGGTTAGGATTTCAACTTGGGAATTCTGTGGGGACACAAACATTTCCTCTATAGCAAACCCCCTGAATCAGTTAGAAGGTCAGATGCACTGAATGCCTGTGAAAAGGTGAAATTATAGGCCCAGACTGTTACTGCTAGCTTCACTGAATAACTGAAGCAGGTTGCTTTGCATTGAGGGTCTTCTTTTCCTCACCTGTAAAATAGAAAGCCTGGCCGTACAGGAGAGGGAGTACTGTTTCCAGCCTCTGCAAGCCCGAGTGAAGGACCAGAGGCCATGGGAGACGATGCCAGGCATGTGTGTGTTTTGGAGGCTCCCACAGCCAGGGTTTCCCTCCGGAGCTCACATCCCCTGCTGTTTCCTTCCTTCGTCCCAGAGCATCAGTCGCCTTCGCTGAGTCAGCTCAGAACTTGCTCCCTCCCTGGAGGGTCCAGGAGTGACCGCAGCTCTCTCACAAGTGGGCCTGGTTTGTGCTGCAGGACATTTCTACCCTGGAACTCGTTTTATTTTCTCTGCATTCTCGGTTTTTACGAAAGAAGCATCGAGACCTTGACTGCACTTGAATTTAGTCTCATGATTGTTTTCACGCTCATGTGAAATGCCTATGACTTAACTTTTCCATTTTCATGCCTAGTCTTCTATCAATGACGCCGCCGAATTCAAAGTGGTAGCTGATGCCATGAAAGTAATTGGCTTCAAGCCTGAGGAGATTCAGACCGTGTATAAAATTTTGGCTACTATTCTTCACTTGGTGAGTAGGGACGTCTCTCAGATTCCGTCACCTCCCTGTGGAGGTAGGATGCTCTTTCAGAAGAGTTTGGGTTTCCACACCCCGCTATAGATTTCAGAAGTAATGTTTTTTGAAGAAATTATTCCATCAAGAGTTCTCTCCACCGTATTATAATATTTTCCAAGCCACAGTAGGTTTTGAGACTGTGGCTTGACCTAATTATCTCATTGGTATGTCTGACTTTGAAGTGGTTCATTTCAAGAATGAAGGAATTCAGCAATGATGTGACTAAAAGCTTTTGGACAGAATAAATTCCTAACAGCATTGGAAACATTGGAGTCATAGATTACTAGGCTCGGAGTTTTGTTGGTCTCATATTGCAGGTTGGGGGATAAGCCCAACAGGAGCAGCATGACTGGGTCAGGAGCACAGAGTTTACGGCCGCCAGCACCATGGGCCACTCTGGCCGCATTATGGTCCACTTGTTTTCCATGACCCCACACCAAACCCAGGGGAAGGGAAGACCCCTGAGTCAGATTTCTTTCATTATCCATCTATGCAGGGATAGGCAAAGTAGGTTCCCGGTTGCATTGTGACAATCTTTTGAGTTAATACAGCTGTTGTAATAATCATAGCCTGTATGTCTTTTTCCATGCAAACCACTCTCACCAACTTTTGCCCACCCCTGTATATTTGGACATGTTTAAAACATAATGAACATACAACCTTACAATGAATAAATGAATGACAGCATGAATACAAATATGGAATACAAATTACCTTTCACTTTGCCATCACAAGATTTAACTCTAAATGAATCAGGACCTATATAAAAAATATTATGCAGCAATATAAATGATATCTTACTTAAATGTTTCTGACTGGGAGACTTTAATGTGATAAACTGTCTCATTCCTTGAACTAGTTTATAAATATAGTTATAACAGTATCCTTCAAAATCCAAATAGAAGTTTTGTTTTGAAGTTGCCATAATGGTTCTAGAATTCACCTGGAACAGTAAACATGTAGGAGGAGCAAATAAAAATGCATTAAAGAAGAAGAGTAGAGAAGAGGGAAGGGAGGAGAGGAAACATGAGTAATTTTTATCAGATTTTAAATGATAATAAAAGCTACAAAACTTTAAAACTTGTTGCAAAATCAGCAGATTAGCTGATGTGCTGGACACTTGGTTGCTGGTTAGTATTTATTGAATGAATGGAATATAAATAGACTCAGCAACTTGGGGAGGATTTACTATATAATAGAGGTAACATTCCAAATCATGACAAAAAGCTAAAACTATTCAATAAGTAGTATTGAAGCAACTAACAAACTATCAGAAAAAAACAAGGTTAGACTCTTACTTTACTCCACATACAGACAAATTCTAGGTGGATTAAAAGCATAAGTGTACGGAAAAAATTGTTCAGCTATTGGAAGAACATATTGAATATTTATTAAATCTTTGGAGAACAGATGGTTTGAGTATGACACCCAAGAAAGATTCATAAGGAAAAGATTCATAGATTTGACTACATCAAAATATAAGACATCTACCCATCAAAAACATATACTGAATATTAAAAGAGACAGGTGTCTGAGAAGAGAAGGGAGGAAAAATGGATGAAGTGCTAGGTATTTATATGTAATATATTTAGGAGAATACGTGCTACAAACAAAGTTACTTTGCATTATATAAATATATTCCTGACGTACTGTTTCAAATCTCATGGCAATGGTCTGTCTCGTTTCTCCATTCCTGGTATAGGGAAATTTAAAATTTGTAGTGGATGGTGACACGCCTCTCATCGAAAATGGCAAGGTCGTATCCATCATAGCAGAATTGCTCTCCACCAAGACTGACATGGTTGAGAAAGCCCTTCTTTACCGGACTGTGGCCACAGGGCGTGATGTCATCGACAAGCAGCACACGGAGCAGGAAGCATGCTATGGCAGGGACGCCTTCGCGAAGGTGGGATTTCAGCTTATGTTCCCTGGGCCTGGTGTGGGTCTCAGTTTTATTTTATTTTATTTACTTTTTAAAATACACTTTTATTGATTTCAGAGAGGAAGGATGAGGGAGAGGAAAAAGAGAGAAACATCAATGATGAGAGAGAATATTGATTGCCTGCCTCCTGCACACCTCCCTACTGGGGATGGAGCCCACAGCCCAGGCACAAGTCCCGGCCGGAATTGAACTGTGACCTCCTGGTTCACGGCTCTATGCTCAATCACTGAGCTATGCCCACCAGGCTCAGGTGCAGTTTTAGTGAATTTCTGTGAGGATGTGTTCAGAGTTCCCTTGAAAGTAGCTTCAGGCTTTTAGAGACTTTAGTTGTGATACTTTTTGGCCATCACAGCCTCCATCAACACCCCTGACTGTGAGCATCTCTGCTCGGAAATGATCCGAGGAAAGCAAAGCTGATCAACTGACTGGCAAGCCAAGGGCACTTGCTTTGCAGGTCCCTTGCTCAGATGGACCCCTCTCATGCTCTCGTTTTGCTTCTCTTACTCAGTAGTGCTTCCTGGAAGGCCCTTCAAGTCCACGAATGGCTTCTGCTCCATTCTGTCTGTCTGTGTTCCACAATGTATTAGCCATCTTCCTCCTCAGTCATTCACCTAGTTTCCTTCATTACCACTGCAAACGATGCTGCAATTGGCCCCGTACATCTCTCTCTCTCTACACACACACACACACACACACACACACACACACACACACACACACACGTGCTTTTATTTCAGTTGGACGCCCAGGAATGAGCTTGCTAGACCAAAGAACACACTGATGTTAAATGTTAAATTTACTGATTTTTGTGGGTTCATAGTTATAGCTCATTCTTGCTTTAATTTTCATTACTAGGTTATCTGAGCATCTTGTCATAGAAGGTATTTAAATCTGCTCTGAGCATTGCCTGGCTCTATCCTTTGTGCATGATTCTTTAGGGCTGTTCCCTTTTTATTGTCAGTTTGTTAAAAGCTGGTCACTTTAACCCTTGGTCTGTTTTCTGCGTGGCAAACGAATTTTTTTCAAGTCTAACACTTGCTTTTCCATTTTGCTGGTTGATGAGATTGCTTTCTGTTCCATTTTTTTATTTGTGTAAGTCTCGGGTGTGGTTTTTAGTCTTGGGAAGAATTTGAATGCATCTCAGTGCAGTGGAGGATTTGAAGGTGGGACAAAGACGTCAAATTGGAATTTTTAAAATGATCATTCTGGCCTCAGATTGGAGAATCTTATGTGAGGCAAGGGAGGAGGGGAAGACAAGAATGCTAGCAAAGAGACCAGTTAAGGGGACGTTTCAATAATCTAGTAGAGAGACAGCAACAGCCTGCATTAGGGAGGTGCCAGTGGCAGTGGGGAGAAGAGGGTGAGTTGAGACCAACTGTGTTGGAAAATAAAATTCACAGGAGCTGTTTGTCTGGAGAATGATGACATCAAGGGAATTCCTTAACGTGGTCTGGCTCCAGCCTACCTCTCCTGCCTCATTTCATTTCACACCACAGTCCAGCCTCCATTCCTCACTCCCACACGTTAGCCTCCTCTAAGGCCTTTCAGATTGACTTCACCCTTTCTCCTTCGGCCACAGGGCCCTGCACGTGCTGTTTCTTCTGCCCTGATTGTTCTTCTCTCCCCTCTCCCCTGGTAACTCTTACTCATCCTGACCTCAGCCCACTTTCTCAGGGAAGCCTCCCCTGGCCTCTCTGAACACTGAACAGACTCCGTTCTCCTCGGATCTCATATACCTGTCCTTTAGAATGAGTGTGTGTGTGTGTGTGTGTGTGTGTGTGTGTGTGTGTGTGTGTGTGAGAGAGAGAGAGAGAGAGAGAGAGAGAGAGAGAGAGAGAGAGAGAGATTTTCCCCTTCACCTTGCTCCTTAAACTCCTTGGAGAAGACCATGCTTATATTTGCTTAGCACCGTATCGTCAACAAGCTGTGCATAGCAAGTCCTCAGCAACTATTTGTTGACTGAATAAACAGATTCCTAAGTTTCTCTGGCCATTTATTCATGGTTAAAAGTAGGGTAGGAACAGTTTGGGGGGGAGATGGTGGTGTCAGGTCACACACAGGAATCTGGAGCTCAGAGGAGAAGTCTGCGTTGGGATAACATTCCAGAGTAGTATTGTATCATTGCTGTTTAATTTTGGGTGAAACCACTTGGAAAGGTGTTAGAGAGTAAGAGAAGAGGGTTAAGAGGAATGTCCACCTTCATAGGTCATGTAGAGGAGGACCCACCAAAGGTCCCCAAGAAGGAGCAGCCAGTGAAATAACAGAAAATTAGGGAAGTGTAGCATCCTGAGTCCCGGGGAGGAGGAGTTTTCCAGAAGAATGGGCACTCAGGTGAGGAGTGCTGAGTACCTGAATGAGATGACCTTCTAATGGGACAAGAAAGGGTCTCTCTGGGGATGCTCAGGGTCTTTGATGAGCCATTTTGTTGGAGTCATGGGAGCTAAGTGAAGGCCGAAGTGGGTTAAAGAGAGTAGGGGGGGTGATGAGTGGTGCAGTGTGTATAGATGTGGACCATAGAGAGAGAGGTGGCTCGAGGGAGCTGTTAATGAAAGGCTTTCTAAGGATGTGCCATTGCAGAGTATGTTTGTACCAGGGTGTGGCTCCATGTTCATGTGTGGTGCCTTTGTCCACGTATGACTGTGCATGTATATCCTTGTATATTGGATATGTGTTTGATTCTCAGGGAATGTCAAACTGTGGCCATTAGCCCAGGTCTTTATTTAGCGTTATAAATCAATAGTTGCATTTTTCAAATTTACAGAGCATAAGCAGAACAGAGTTATTAACTTGTTGCTTTCCCAATTTCTAGATTCAAAAAAAGCAAAGGAGTGACTTACCTGGGGGATGAGGCAGATTATTGAAATAGCTGAGTATGGAAATGTACCTGGGGAATGTTTTGGAATATAAGCCTAGTACCTGAAAATAATCTTAAAAATTCAAACCGTTTTGTTTTGCATCCATTGCATTGTTGTTGTTTTTTATCAGATAATCTGCATTTTGTATTGTTCTGCTTTGGGTAGTAACAGCTATGCTAAACATTAAGGAGTAGGAGGAGAGGAATTTATAACATATCGCAAACTGAAACAGAGATTCAATCCCAAACCAGCAAGAATTTATGATGTTGTTTTCTTCACAGGCAATATATGAGCGCCTTTTCTGTTGGATTGTGACTCGCATCAATGATATCATTGAGGTCAAGAACTATGACACCACAGTGCATGGGAAAAACACTGTTATTGGTGTATTGGATATCTATGGCTTTGAAATCTTTGACAACAACAGGTAAACCGATTAAATACTTACAATCTATTGTTTACTTTTGACCTGTCTGGTGTGGGTAAGTGATTGGAGGGTCAGCCTGTGCACCTAATGGACTCGGGTTTGATTCCCAGTCAAGGGCACATACCTAGATTGCAGGTTGGTGTGAGAGCCAACCAGTCCATGTGTTCTTCACATGGATGTTTCTTTCTCTCTCTCCCACTCTTCCTTTTCCTTCTTCTCCCTCTCCTTCCCACCTCCCCTCTAAAAAAAACCAGTGGAAAAATATCTTCAGACCCATCTGGTGTGGCTCCATGGATGAGCATCGACCTATGAACCATGAAGTGATGTTTCGATTCACCTTCAGGGCACATGCCCGGGTTGTGGGCTCATTTCCCAGTTGGGGGCGTGCAGGAGGCAGCCGAATAATGATTATCTCTCATTATTGATGTTTCTATTTTTCTCTCCCTTCCTCTCTCTGAAATCAATAAAAATATATATTAAAAAAATATGTCCAGATGAGGATTATAAAAAAAAAAAAACCCTGCTGTTTACTTTTTTTCTTTTTTCAAATATTTTTATTTAAGAGAAAAAGGGTAAGAGAGATAGAAACATCAATGATGAGAGAGAATCATTGATTGGCTGCTTCCTGCATACTCCCTACTGGGAATTGAGCCTGCAATCCAGGCATGTGCCCTTCACCAGAATCGAACATGAGACTCTTCAGTCTGTAGGCCAATGCTCTATCCACTGAGCCAAACGAGCTCGGGCCTGTTGTTTACTATTTATTTGTTTAAACATAATGTATTCCTTTCTTGCAGTTTTGAGCAATTCTGCATCAATTATTGCAACGAGAAGCTGCAGCAGCTATTTATTCAGCTGGTTCTGAAGCAGGAGCAAGAGGAGTACCAGCGAGAAGGGATCCCCTGGAAGCACGTGAGTGCACCTCTGGGGACAGTGTCTCAGGCGTCACACATGATTATAATGCCAAATCTTACCATTTTTTAAAATGTATTTTTTTAAATCTGCCTGGGGTACGTGAATCAACAAACAACATTTTAGCTTTTCATTTGGGGGCGTGAGAATACATTTCATTTTCAGGGTAGGTAGATGGGATTTTTCTAATTTAAAAGACTCCCTTGTTGGTGCCCAGAAAATGCTGAGTTTTATTCAGTAACTTTGACATCCACTTTACAGTAATCAGTGGACTGTACCCACCCATCCCCATGGGTTCTGGTTCACATATGTCTGTTAAGAGTTAAGCATCATTTATAAGTTATTCAGAGCAGCAACTTTTGCCTTAAAATGGCTGAACTTTGCTTCTATATTTAGCTGCTTCTCCTTCCTCTTTTTCTTTTTCTCCTGTTACTCCTTTTTTCCCTTCTCCTTCTCTGCGTTGTTAGCTACATGGCATTATATTGTTCTTAGTGGATGTTATTCCTGTTCTCTGCAATCGTTGCTTGAAACACTTTCATTCCATTTCTTTCCGTTTCTTTCCTGCATGTCGCATTTCCACTCTCACCTGTCTTTTAATGGCTTTTTGAGAACTGTAATATTTGTCAGAATCACACTAGCCTAGTAATATGTAACCAGAGTGCAAGTCTGGTCTCGGGTGCAAGTCCAGAGATCACAGCTAAAAAGCATGACAGAGCCCCTGCTCATGATGGAAATGAGACCTAGTAATTTTTCTTTTAAATTTTTGTTTTAAACAATTTTAAGAAGAGATTTGAGTCATGCAAAACCATTGGAGTTTCCCTGAGTTTCTGTTTTTTAAAAAATGTGTATATCCTCTTGTCAAAGAGTAAAGACAGCCCTAACTGGTTTGGCTCAGTGGATAGAGCGTCAGCCTGCAGATTCAAGAGTCCCAGATTTGATTCTGATCAAGGGCATGTACCTGGGTTGCGGGCACATCCCCAGTAGGGGGTGTGCAGGAGGCAGCTGATCAATGTTTCTCTCTCATCGATGTTCCTAACTCTCTCTCCCTCTCCCTTCCTCTTTGTAAAAAATTCAATGGAATATTTTTTTTAAAAAAAAGAGTAAAGACAATAAAAATAAAGTCAGTATTTATTTTGTGATATTCAACTTGAGAGCAATGAAAAAGCTATTCGAAAGACCACATTTTAATTACTTTTATATCCCTTTTTACCTTCTCACTGTCCCTCTCCCTCTCATTCAGAAAAAGGAAGCAATGCTAGCTTCCCTGCCTCAAACTGCCTCTTTGCCTTGCATTTGTTAAACATTAGAATGTCTTAAAATTTTTCTCCAAGTATATCAGTATAAATTTTGCCTATTTCAAATAAATCAAAGTGAGCTATTACTTTATAATAGGATTATCTACAATTTTGATTTAAGGAGTGAACTCATACGACACAATTCAGATGTAACTCAAAGTTTTGTGTAGCATTCTTAGAATGAATATGTTGTACAGCACCCAATTATAACTGAGGCTTAGGTTTTTATAGCAAATTGAATCATAAAACTTGCTATTCAGATGTAATTCAGAGATACTGGTAAAAAATATCCTTTAATCATCAGAGTATCAAATTCCACTGACATGGTTGATAAAGAGAAAAGTCAACAATTGCAGGAAGCGACTTCAAACTACTGAAAAAGGAGCAAAAGCACTGAATACACAAAAATTCGTAGCGAAATAAACAAAGAAATATGTGACCTCAAGGGAACAGAAGCCTGACCCTATGCCAGCTCCCCCTAGATGAGAATCATTATTCTGGACAAGTATTTCCTTTAAGAACCCCAGACTTCTGAACATAGTGATTCTTTCTTTCTTTTTCTTTCTTTTTTTCCCCCAGAAATTTCAAATATATAATCTAAAAGCAGAGATCATAATATAATAAACTTAATGTACGCATCACCCAGCTTTAAGAGTCATCAGTGGACTGTATCCATCTACCCCCAGATAATTTTGAAGCAAGTCTCAGACTGTGATATGATTTATTTCATCTGTAAATATTTCAGTGTGTTTCTCTAAAAACCATAAGCTCAATACCATTGTCACACCTAAAATATTCAAAGTAAGTCCTTAGTACCACATATCCAGGCAGTGTTAAGATTTCACATTTTTCTCAATTGTCTTAGAGTTCTTTTTTGTTGTTACAGTCTGTTTGAATTTGGATCCAAATAAGGCTCCTAAACTGTGGTTGGCTTATAGTTCTGTTACATATCTATAGATTTTCTTTACCCAGTATCTGTCTGTCTGTCTCTCTCTCTCTTTCTCTCTCTCTCTCTCTAGTCTCCTTTTTCCCTTGTAATCTTCTGTTGAAGATTATGGGTCCTTTGTTGTGTTTCCCCGAGTCTGGATTTTTCTAATCAGATTCCTGAGCTGTCATCGACTGTGATTCTCTGGGGTTTTTTTTAATGTCCTTAGTTGTTAGATCTAGAATCTCGACCAGGGTCAGGACCAGTGTTTTCCTATTAATGGTGTGTGAACTCTCACTGGGAGGCACACATGTCTGGTTGTCTAAGTGATTCCATTTTAAAAGCCTTTGGGGCCGTAGTTTGCAGGTCATGTTTCCCTGTTGAGAACTTGACTCTCAGCACAAAGCTTCTTAGCTTGGAATGGGACTGGGGAGCTCAGAGCCTGCCCATCACATCTCTGCATGCCCCTGAGTCCCCTAAGAAACCTGGAGATGCGGTTTGGAAAGCACTGCTTTAAGCAGCATGAAACTTACAAGCTAACAGTCACTGGACTCTTTAGCAAAGATGAGTCATTTTTGGTTTATATCATTAGAATTGTAGGGAACTTACTTCTTTGTCCCTGGGACAAAAGACTTAGTCTCTAACTCCCCCAACCTAAACTCTGAAATTTCAGCTATTAATTGAGTTCTTGCTTTTTGAGTATTGTAAGGATAGTTTTCCAAATGATGGAAATAGCTTTCCTCCCTAACTAGAAATATAATAAATACCACAAGAAAGGTAAAGATTTAGGCCAGGACTTCTCCGTCGCGGTACTATTGACATTTGGACCAGACCCCTCTTTGCCGTGAGCCTGTCCTGGGCACTGTAGGATGTTTATTTAGCAGTATCCCTGGCCTCTTCCCCCTGGAAGCCCGTAACATTCTCTAGACATAATGATTACGGATGTCAGCAGACAGCCCAGCCAGTGTGGCTCAGTGGTTGAGCATCAATCTATGAACCAGGAGGTCCCATTCCGGGCACATGCCCATGTTATGGGCTCAATCCCCAGTGTGGGGCATGCAGGAGGCAGCCAATCAATAATTCTTTCTCATCATTATGTTTCTCTCTCTCCCTCTTTCTTCCTGTTTTAAATCAATAAAAAAAATTTTTTTAATCTATTTTAAATGTCAGCAGACATTAAGTTGCCAGATATCCCTAGGGCCTTAAATCCCCCTCTCTTGAGAACCACTGGTATAGACAAACCAGAAAAATATAAAAAATAAAGTAAAAGCCGCCCATTTTGAGGCTTTGCATCTGTAGAATACAAAAGAGAATTTAAAAGACTAGGAATGGAGCTGAAAACCACAGGCAAATAACAGGCATGAGTCCTTGATTTAAATATCACGGAACAGGAATACATGAGGCACTTGAATAGTCTGTTTTGAGTTATGGCTCTTACAGAAGTTAATAGAGACAGCTCTCAGTTCAGGCACCTTGTCTGTGAGATGGAGCACATTAACACACAGATTAAAATGTAAGACAATCAGCTGCCCGTCCTCACATGAGGCACAGCTCTCCCGGCCAGGCCCCAGTGCTCTCTGTGAGCCACAGGACATCAGAACGAACAGGTGTAGGGGAGAATTGTTGTATAAACCAGTGATCACCATCCGGTGGCCCACGGACTGAGGTCTGGAAGGTTGGTGACCGCTGGTGTAAGCCCTGTGTGTATTGAAGTTGCCAGAAAGCCAGGAGTTACTTATAACTTTATTCAGCTTATGGAAGTAAATGTAAAGCTCATTCTTATCTCTTATAGATACTTAATCTCAGAATTACATTCTTTTTTTTAAATTATATTTTATTGACTTTTTACAGAGAGGAAGGGAGAGAGAGATAGAGAGCTAGAAACGTCGATGAGAGAGAAACATCAACAAGCTGCCTCCTGCACACACCCCCACCAGGGATGTGCCCGCAACCAAGGTACATGCCCCTGACCAGAATCGAACCCGGGACCTTTCAGTCTGCAGACCGACAATCCATCACTGAGCCAAACCGGTTTCGGCAGAATTACATTCTTTATGGTATATCCTGAAAGACCTCTAACTCTGTTATACCCGTATGTGCTTGTTAACTTGGGGAAACTGGAGGAGAAAGCTCCTTTGGGTTTTCATCCCGTCCATAGAATGAAAGTTCTGCGGAATACCTTCACTTGGCCAAATTACATGTCAAATGACACTTTAAGGTTATTGGCTGGCACTCAGTGCGGTCTGGGTCTTGTGGTTAATGGCAAACAGATTAGGGGTTGAGAATCTGGAGGAGCAGGGTCAGGTGCAGGAGGCGGAGGCAAGATTAAAACAGTAGGTAGTGATAGGAGAAAAGTTACCCACCTATAGTTTCTGCCTGGAGCTGTTCTCATTGAAGACAGTGTCTCCTGTTGCAAAGAGGCCTCTAAGAGAATTTGGGTGTCGGACCTCACAGGTGTCATTCACATATTTTCTATGGAGGGAGCTTGATGCACACAGGGCACGGGTTCGGGTCTGGCCCCTGCTCTCTTGGGCATTGCTTCTGTGCTGTGTCTGGCAGATCGACTACTTCAACAATCAGATCATCGTGGACCTGGTGGAGCAGCAGCACAAGGGGATCATCGCCATCCTGGACGATGCCTGCATGAACGTGGGCAAGGTCACCGATGCAATGTTCCTGGAAGCACTGAACAGCAAACTGGGCAAACACGGGCACTTCTCCAGCCGCAAGGTAACGTGTGTGCTGAGAACGCCCTCTCGCATTGTGTGGCAGACTTACGTGGCTTTCTGTGTTGGGTTGTCACAACCCTGTGTCCACTCAACCCAGGCCATAAGCATCCAGTTAAGGATTGATTGATTGCTGTGGATAAATTCTGCCTTCTCTGATTTGTAGGAGGAAAGGGTTGGTAAAACTCCTATCATCCAGGAGAGGGCGCTCCAGACTGTGCAATGGACTAGAAATAGGAAAAGGGATGATGTCATTGCTAACCAATAGGTGCAGAGTCCTTGTGCCTGTGCTCGATTTTGCTCCCGCATCCCTGATCATCATTCTGGCACTGAAAATAGCTTTTGTCCTCGACCTTTTACTATAGCCCTCAGCTGTCAGGTGTGGTATGTGTGTTTTCCCAGACTAGGTGACTTTCTTAAAAACAGAGAAATTCAGCTGTAATTCTGATTGTTACTCCCCCCATTTTTCACATTCTAAAAAAAAAAAAAAAAAAATGTTAGCAGTAGATCCCATTTCCGAATAATTGGTGACAGTTGTGGTTGTCAGACCTTTGTGCCCTGCCTCGCATGGTAATATGCTATTATCATAATATTGTCCTAGGAGGGGGTACACCATCATCCCCAAGTGTTTCCTACCAATGCAGGCTTGTCTTGCAGCCATCAGCTAGAGGAAAACCAGTCCCTATTCTTCTTCACTTCCACAAAAACGGGGCACACATTTCTGCTTCTCTGTCAAACACAAAGAAATCTATTCCCTAACTTCGTCCCCTTTGAAATTACGTTAACAGAATAGGAAGATTCCACAGTTAACTAGACTAAGCCATCAAGATATAAATTATTAGCTGATATTTATTTTTGGACAGTTTATTTCTAAAATATTCTCCTTGGTCTGTTACTGAGGAATGACTTGCAGTCCTACTATAAGCTGGTTTTCACATACTATTATCCCTTTTTGTTATTCCCATTTATAATGCAAATACTTACTAAGTGCCTCTCATTTTTCAAGTACAATCCTGGGTGCTTGGGACAGAGCAGTGAGCAAAGTTAGAAGCAGCCTAAATCCTTTGGTATGATGCTGTTAGAGATGGCATGATCACACGGGCCAGCATCCCATGTTGGAGGACTGGGTTAAAAATGCCCTTTGTAATCACAGTTCAGGTTTTGGAGACTCGCCTAGAATTGTGCCTACCAGATGACAGACCATCAGTGTTTGTCAAATTTGAAATGAATTGGTCATGGTCATACCAAATAAATCATACAGAATATTGAATTTTCAACTAAAACATGCAAGGCTCTACTTCATTTTTAAAAAATGACTGTGACTTTCCCATGAGAAATCACCTCACTTTTTATATGTGTTACCTTGGCCATGTACACACCTGAATTAAATATGTCAACCAAGTATTTTTAAATATAACCTTATTCTTCAGGTAGCAACTGCACATAATGTATTTAAGCACTTGCTACTGATTTGATAGGAAATGTTGAGCAGTTATTAATCTGTAAAGATGGGATTTCCTCTCTTTATTCTCTCTCTTTCCCTCTCCCTCTCCTTCTTTATCTTGCTTCTTTTTTAAATATGGGAGTCCGGGTTTGGCCATCTCTCAGACCAGGTGGCTCCTTCCAGCATCATCCCCCAGACAAGCAGTAAGATGGGGAATTTTTAAATGTGTTATTTTCTGGGATTTTTGCCTAATGAAGGAAAGAAGTGAAATACCAAGCTGTCAGGATATTTTCATCACTGTGAATCCAAATGTATTCAAATGTAAGAATATTTAATTGGTACAGACATATCTTGAGTCCTTTTCCTTTGGGGTTTATAAATAAAAGGGTTTTATAAAAGTGGCTAATAAGAGCCCTGGCCAGGTAGCTCAGTTGGTTGGAGTGTTGTCCCATACTCCAAAAATTTTGTGGGTTCAATCCCCAGTTGGAGCACATACCTAGCTACAGGTTCTATGATGTTTCTCTAATGATGTTCTCTCTCTCTCAAAAAAAATTATATATATATATATATATATATATATATATATATATATATATATATACATATACATATATATATATATACATATACATATATATATATGGCCCTGTGTGCGACATTCATGCACTGGGGTCAGGGAGGGTCCCTCAGCCCAGCCTGCACCCTCTAGTAGTCTGGGAGCCCTTGGGGGATGTCCAACTAGCGCTGCCATGGAGGCAGAAGAGGCTTCCACCACTTCTGCTGTGATTACCAGTGGTGAGCCCAGCTTCTGGCTGATTGGTGCTCCCCCTGTGGAAGCACACTGACCAGCAGGGAGCAGCTCCTGCATTGAGCGTCTGCCCCCTGGTGGTCAGTGCATATCATATCAATCGATTATTCTGCTGTCCAGTCAATTTGCATATTCACCTTTTATTATATAGGATATTAGAAGCCCGATGCACAAAATTCATGCAAGGGGCTCAGCCATCACAGTCCCAGCTTCGTCTGGAAGGTCATCCAGATGGTGGTTCTGCTCTTTGGACTAATTAGCATATTTGCTCTTATCATATAGGATATATGATAGCAGCCAAGATTTAAGTATCATAGATAATAGAAGTCTATTTCTCTTCCAGGGACCCACACTTCTTTCATCTTCTGCCTCTTTCATCCCCCGTGTCCTTCTTTGCATCCAACAGTGGGAGGAGAAAAGAAAGTACAGAGGACAATCACCCATTTCTTACCAGCTTTGGTCTGGAACAGCCTCACCTCACTTCCACTCACCTTCCATTGTCCAGAACTGGTCATCCGCCCACCTTCAACAGCAGGGGGTGCTGTGTGGGTTTCTAGTGAACGCTCCCAGTCGCTACCACACAAGCACAATATTTAAATAAAGCCCCACACAGTGTGATTTCATTCATAATGGTATCACGATTTCGTAACACATTCTCCTCTTCTATGAAATTGGAATATATTTTTAGGAAAGTGTAAATGGCTGTTTTAAAAATAATCTCCTTCTTGATTTCTTAGCTCTGTGCCTCAGACAAAATGCTGGAGTTTGATCGGGACTTTCGAATTCGACATTACGCAGGGGATGTAGTGTGAGTATCTTACTTTGGCACCTAATGTAATGTTTGCATGCAGCCTCACTTCAAAAATTATAACCAGGGGGAAACATAGGTTTGTTTTCCTATTCATTTGCATTATTTTCAATCATTCTATAGGCCTCTTTTCATCTTCCCACTTAAAAAAGAAAATTGGCATCACTTCATGCATTCCTTGCTTTTCAAACATTTATTGAGCATACACTATGTGCCCATTCACAGCTCCTGGCATAGCTGTTCGTCAGTCAAAATCAGAGGATAAACCAAGTTAAGGACTGGGATAGAACAGGAGATGAGATGGGGCTTTCTCTGAAGAAGGTAATAGTGCAGAGGAAGGATACAAGCAGATGCATTGTACGTCACTATAAAGAAGGATGACTGGAAGGAAGAAATGCACAGGCATTACGGGAACACTGAGCAGGAATAATTAACCCGGAATGGAGTATAGAGAAGTCTTGCTGGAGGAAGTGATACCATGTTGAGTCCTATACGTAAAAGATGCTTAGGGCCAAGAACTAGGAAGAGAGGAGGGAGAAGCGAGGGAGTTCCAAGCAGAAGGGGCAGCAGACACACAGGCCCTGAGGTGAGAGTCACCCATCATGACCAGTTTTGCTGTTTTATTTATCAAATATTATCTGAAAAGTAAAATTTGCAGGAGCCACATTTTCTGATTATAATAAAAATAGAAACTATAACTAAAAAAAAAAATAATTACTTTAGCATTTTAGTTTCCTAGGGCTGCTGTAACAAATTACCTTCAATTGATGCTTTAAAACAATTACCTTCAATTGATGCTTCCTCACAGTTCAGCAGGCCAGAAGTTTGCAATCTAGGTGTCAGCAAGGCCACACTCTGAAGGCTCTAAAGAAGAGCGTTTTTTTTAAGCTTCTGGCAGCCACAAGCATTCCTTGGCTTGTGGCCCCATCACTCAAGGCTCTCTGCCTCTGTGGCCACATTGCTTCCTCCTCTTGGGTGTGTCTGTGTTATAACTCGTCTGCTTCTGTGCTAAAACTTCACTTGTAAAGGCAGTAAGGCCCCCCTGGATAATACCTTATAAGCTTCTTCTTCTCCTCATCTCTCATAATCGTACCTTTTATCCCTCACGTAATCATACCTCTTCTCATGCATAGGTCTAAGGAGTTAGGCATGGATGCTGTTCGGGGGGAGCATTTTTCAGCCCACTGTACTTCGCGAGCTTTGTCCACTGAAGACTGCTCCTTATTGTTTACAGGCCTCTCTGTTCTTTCTCCTTATGGTTCACATTAGGAATTCTGTTCATATTCATAAAACCCACTATAGGAAGAGATGAAACAACTATAAAAAGGCAAATGATGATCTCTACATGCTGAAAAGACATCTGAAGAAATTTTAATAGCTGTTCCTGACTTAAATGAAAATCTGGAATCATAAAATAATATGGCTCGAAATTATCACCCCATCTGTCAAACTAGCCATTAGGGCTGGTATGGCACCATTTTCCTCTTTTTTTCTGGTCCTGTTCCCAGGTTCCAGCATACTGAGGAGGGAAGATCCAGCACCACACAGCTGTCTCCCACGGAAAGCCCAGGCCTCGCTTCCTGGGTGCTTTCATCTAGCTCCAAGTGGCTTAGAAGCAGGGCTGGACAGAGAGGCCTTAGAGACAGACCACCAGGCCATCCCTTTCGTTTTACAGATGAGGAAACTTATGCAGAGTGTAGAAGTCATACCCAAGGTTCCACAATATGTTCATGGGAGAGCTGAGACAATAACTAGGTTGCCCGGCCCCCAGAACCAGCCGACCTCTCTGAGTGCAAAAGAGGGAAGGAGCTGGGGCTGGAGCAATGAAAGGATTGGCAGCTAATAAAAGGCGGAGGTGTGAGGCTTTGTGGCCAGATGTCTTTTTAGCAACAAGACCCATTTGATTTCAGTGTATCCTCTGTGGTCACATGGCCTCCTCCTATTGGGCGAGTCTGTGTTAAATGTCACCTGCCTCTATGCTGAGCCCTCCAGTCCATTTTTAGGTTTTTACAGGACGACATCTTTGTGCACAGTGCTTTATAAAGCATGGTCCTTGCCCACAAAGAGCTTTCCTCATAAGATACATACATGCATATATGATGGTGCACGAATGTATTTATACACATTTTTATATTATCTGTATAAATACACACACACACACACACATATATGCACATTTACATGCTTCCATTGATACAATAAAAGATGGTCTGAAATAGTTGCCATATGGAGTTGTTGTCAGGATTCAGAATAAGGAAATGATATCATACTTCTAGCTGTGTGTGACACACCCAGGGAAGCCGATGCTGTCTTGGGTCTTTGACGCAGTCCTTGGATACTGGGGATTATTTTTATAGGAACAAGCGGGAAGAGTGCTAAACATTCAGGAAATAGCAATGGGGTCCATTTGACAGGAGTGTATCCTTTTTGTAGCAAAGGCAAGTAGAAATGCCTGGAAAAATAAATTCAGATCAAATCATCATGAGTCTTCAAGGCTCACAATAAGGATTTAGAAGTTTGAGTTTTATGGGTTACCCAATAGATTGAGTCAGATGACTTCAAGGTGACTTCAGTCAAAAATAGCTTGAAGGTATTAGGAAGAAGACCTAGAGTGGGAGAGGCAAGGAAATATTTTAGGACCTGGTGACCTCCAAGTACCCGCCACACGCCATGGGCAGCATAACATGATGGGACTTTCTTGCAGAATTAAGTGTGCAAGGCTGAAATATTGTCGACGGTTCAGGGTTAGAGATCTGAGGACTGTGTGCATTGATGTGATTGTCGAGGGGACATGCAGACAGGTGAGAAAACAGAACTGTAAGAAGTAGCTACATCTAGAATTAACCATCACCCAGAATCCTCCATGACTTTTATCCCCCAGTCCTAAGTGTGCACCACCTAGAGGCCATGCCCGTCACTGCAGCAGAACAGGTTCCAGTCCCACCTTTCTCACCAACAACTGGGCTTGCAAGACCTTACTCATCTCCCTTCCTCCAGACCATGAATACTGACCTCCTTGTTTTATTTCAAGAATGTCATGCATGTGCCTGATTCCTTCCCTTTGTTTAATCTATTTCCCTGTGTGATCTGCCTTCTGCTTTCTCCTCTGCTTATCCAGCTCTTACCATCCTTTGCGGTTCTCCTTGGATTCTTTTATCCCACCCCCAACACACTGAGCGAACCTTAGGCAAGTCCCTTGACCTCCCTACGGATGAGGCTGTTAGTTCCTGTGTGTCGCTGCTTTGCTTTTATCTTAGTAATGCTGGAGCTGTCTGTATTTTAAGAGTCATCTTCCTGAGGTAAGCAGTAAGCCAGTAGGAAACGATCTTAATTGTAATTATGGTAATGATGTTTGCTCTCCTTTTGAAGAATAGAAACAATAGCCCCTTTATTTCGGAGGCAAAATTTGATGTTCCTTAACACAGAACATTGAGGACATAATCAGCCTCATACATTGATTGCATAATTAACAGTGGGAGGGTGTTGTAGATTTTAGAAAAGCTTTCAATGTGGCTCTTGCTTGGTGAGTAATGAACATTTTCTGTGTTTTTTCTCCATTAGCTATTCTGTCATCGGTTTTATTGACAAAAATAAAGACACTTTATTTCAAGATTTCAAGCGCCTGATGTATAACAGGTAGGGTTAAATTTTACTCTTTATATTGAACACTTTGGCATATATTGCACAGTATATTTGCACATGATTATTTTTATGTGACAATTTTAAGATTTTGGTAAATTCTCTAGTTCTGCTTAATCAGACTTAATAAAATATTACTCTATAATTATAACAATCAATAAACTTAGGACAGGGACCTGCTGTGAATATGATTTTCTTTGATTGCCCTTGGGTGGCCTCAGTTTCTCTGTTTACTGCTGCCATTCTTCTGGCACCCCCTACCGGAATATTCAGGAGTCCTTGGCTGGGTCTGTGGCAAATGGAAGGTGTCAGATAACCTCTGACCCAGCTGAAAATGTACACACTCAAATTCCCACTGTAGTTCTTGGCCTCTGACGAAGAGGTCCCTCTGCTATCCGAGTGGCAGCTGGAATCAGTGGTGGTAGATCCTGAGTGGACAGAATCTTCTCACAATCCCAGAAAAGGGAGAAAACCAAGTTCAAGCTCAGCATGATAGTTTGGAAAGAAGGCCCATGAAGAAAAAAGGGTGCTCGGCCAGTAGCTTCTTTGGGGTTAGAGAACTGTAGACACTCATTTATCAAGTCTCCTCGGTCAGTTGGTCAGTGGATCATCAAAGATATATGGAGCACCTCTGAGCCACACGTTCTTCCACGCTCTGGGGTACAGTTGTGGAAGAAATGTAGACAAATTCCCCACCCCTTGCGTCTTATATTCTAGTAGACAGGGCAGTCAGTAAACAAAAAGATAGCTAGCTAACTCCCAGGGAGTGACAAATGCTATGAAGAAAAATAAAGTATCTCTCTCCCAATTTTTTTGGGTAGGAGGCAACCAAAATTTTTGGTGTCCTTGTTTCGGCAAGGCTTAAAAAGAAAAAGATTGAAGGGTGCAGGCAAGGAAGGGCAGGGGGGACATTGCAGTAGGGTGGTGGGAAAGGCTTCCTAAGAGAGGTGATGTTTGAGCAGAGACCTGAATGAAGTGGGGGACTGAGCTGTGAAGAGTGGGGGAGAAGAGCATTTCAGGTAGAGAGAACAACTAGTACCAAGGTGCTACAGTAAGAATGAGTAGGGGAGCAATTGAGAACAGCCAGAAGGTCACTGTGGCTCAAAAAAGAGGGATGGGGAATCTAATTCAAGAGGCTCAGATTGGAGAAACAGGGAGGATCTAAGATGGCTGCACAGGTAAACACAGCCGCACATAACAATTTCAATAAAATACAACTAAAATATAAAATGGACATTGCTCAGAGCTACAGGAAGTCGACTGACTGAAAATTCTACAAGAAGGAAAGAGAAAACCAGAAGGAAAATCAGAGGAGCTGTAAAAGCCTAATGGACATTGCTCAGAGCTACAGGAAGTTGACTGACTGAAAATTCTACAAGAAGGAAAGAGAAAACCAGAAGGAAAATCAGAGGAGCTGTAAAAGCCTAAGGTATGGAGACATGCTACACGTGTGCAGAGAGGATGGAGCCAGAGAGGAGGGGGAGGATGAGTACCTGGCTGGTGTTCCCAAGCGGGAAGGAAATAAAAGCTCCGGTCTGGGCTGAACCCTAATCCGACAGCGCTGAACCCCAGTTCTAGGCCAAACCTTGGGGACCCAGGCTCAAACAGAGGGAGACAGGGCTGTGAGGCGGAATCCCAGGAGAGCAGCGAAAAGCAGAGCCCCCGGAGTCGCGCACATTGCGCGCAGAGGACGGACTGTTGACTCTGATGCTAGACTGCCCTGGCGGGAAGGAGACAAAGGCTCCAGGCTGGGAGAAGCGCGATGAGGAGCGGGAGCCGCCGCCGCCGCCGCCGCCGCCGGGCACCTGCAAGCTCAGTGCCGGCAAGGAGCCGGGCGACAGGGCCCCCGGGGGGGGGGGGGAAGTGCCCCTGGGCCCTCGACCTCTGATCACCGGCCACGGAGCCGAGGCGGGGGGCTGCTTCCTGGGTGGCCCCAACCCTGACAACAGGCTGAAGCCGCGCAGGAGTCTGAGGAGAACAAAGGGGCGCCATGGGCCAGCCTGCTGAGCTTCCAGGACGAGGAGGAAGAAACCGAAGAAGTTTTCAATGTGAAGAAATCAAGTTATAGCAAAAAGATGGTAAAATTACTTAAGAAAGAATACAAAGAAGATCTTGAAAAATCGAAGATTAAGACAGAACTCAACTTAGCAGCCAACATTGCAACATAAACGCATTTAAAAAAAAAAAAAAGACAGAATTTTGGAGCGGCAGCAGCGGCCAGGCCCAGAGTGGCCAGGCCCAGGGCAGTGGCAGCCGGGCCCAGAGCAGCAGCAGCCAGGCCCCCGAGCAGCAGCAGCCGGACCTGGAGCAGCAGCAGCCAGGCCCAGAGCAGTCAGGCCTGGGGCAGTGGCAACCAGGCTTGGGGCGGAAGCGGCCAAGCCCAGGGCTGCCAGGCCCGGAGCAGCCGGGCCCAGAGTAGCCAGATCGGGAGCAGCCAGGCCCGGAGCAGCAGCAGCCAGGCCTGAAGCAGCCAGGCCGGGAGTGGCTGGGCCCGAAGTAGCCGGGCCCAGAGCAGCCGGGTCAGGAACAGCCAGGCCCAGAGCTTCAGCAGCCAGGCCTGGAGCAGCCAGGCCGGAAGTGGCCAGGCCCGGAGCGGCCGGGCCCAGAGCAGCCGGGCCGGGAGCGGCCAGGCCTGGAGCAGCAGCATCCAGGCCGGGAGCGGCAGCAACCGAGCCCGAAGCAGCAGTGGCCGGGCCTGGAGCAGCTGGTTGTGGAGCGGCCCGGAGCAACAGAGGCCAGGCCCAGAGCAGCCTGGCCTGGAACAGCTCGCTCCTCACCTGCCCATGCCCCAGGGCTGCTTCTCAGACATGGCTGGAAACTTTTGGGGGAACTTGAGGGTCTGCTGAATCAAGTAATGAAGTGTTGAGTTGTTGTAGTGCTGGGGTGTTGATCTGTGAGTGCCTTGTGTGGGGTCTGGATGAGGTTGATTGATCTATTTGGAAGTGTCTTTTGTGTGAAGGGTATCCTTGGGCATGTGGAGGTATTATTTTTTTTTTTTAAATATATTTTATTGATTTTACACAGAGAGGAATTGAGAGGGACAGAGAGTTAGAAACGTCGATGAGAGAGAAACATCGATCAGCCGCCTCTTGCACACCCCCCACAGGGGATGTGCCCGCAACCAAGGTACATGCCCTTGACCGGAATCGAACCTGGGACCTTTCAGTCCGCAGGCCGACGCTCTATTCACTGAGCCAAACCCGGTCCCGGCGGAGGTATTATTGATTTGAGAAAATGCTAAGTAATTGATTTACTACCTGAAAAATTTAAAGTTCTGAAAGTTTAAGGTCTCTTGCCAAAAAGAGGTTTTAAAGCTAACACCTTAATTTTAATGGAGAAAGGGGAGGACAAGCCCTTCCCACCCAGAACAGGTAATCCAATTCTTGCCAGCAGCTATCTTTAAACAATGTGTTCATTTACATTTGAATGGCTATGCCTTTTGATAGCCTAAGGGCAAGTTTACATGTAAATAAGTTTGCTTCTCAGTTCCCAGGGCAGAGAAAACAAGGTTTAAAATTATTAGATTTTAAAATTTATTCTTAAAAATATAAAAATTTATTAATTTAAAAAAACAAACAAGGAAATTTTAAAAACCTGATGAACAATATTAACTGTTGATTATAATAGAATCAGAGCTACAGGAGGGGAGTGGGCTGACAGTTGGGGGGGGCGGGAAGGGGAGTAGTGGATGCGGGAAGAGACTGAACATAAACTGTGCACCTCTGGATGAGGACAATGGGGGGTGGGGAAAAGGCAGAGGGTGGGGTGGGAACCTGGTGGAGGAGGGAAGAAATGAGGAACCTTTGTAATAATATGAACAATAAAGATTGATTTTTAAAAAAGAAAGAAAGAAAGAAAAGAGGGATGGGGATAGAGAGAAGGAATGAATATTTACAGAGGTTAACAGGGCCTGGGTTATGAAGCGTCTGTGAGCCAAGGTAAGGAAAAAGAATGTAGGGCAGCCATTGGAATTAATGATACAATGTGATTTATACATTAAAGAAATCACTAGGGCTACCTTATAAAGCACCACACAGTGTTGAGGGCAAGAGTAGAAATGGGGAGACCAGTTAGGAGACTACTCTGAGATTTGGATAGTAGCGACAGGATTATGAAAGGTGGTCAGAGTGGGTGATAGTAGGTAAGTAGAGCCAACAAGACTTGCCGATGAATGGGATGTATGATGTGAGAAAAAAACAGAAATCCAAGCCGATGCCTGAGCAGTGGGGAAGGGATGCATGATGGGGGAAGACAAGAGGAGGAGTTAATCTGGTAGGGGAAATGGAGAGTTTTGTTTAGGATATTTTATTCCAGAGGTGCATGTTATATTGAACATCCAGTTGAAAATGCCAAATAGGCAATTGTATGTATGCCTCTGGGACTCAGGGTAAAGGTGGGAGTTAGGGGTATCAATTCATTGATCATATTTAAAGTCTTAAGACTGGATGAGGTTTTAGGGGGAACACAGACTTAAAAATAAGAGAGAGGAGAGGTCAAAAAAAGAACCCCTGAGACGCTTCAGCATTTAGGGGGGAAGAAATTTCTTCAAGAAAGAAAGAAGGAACGAGCAGAGGACACTGAGCGTGCCAGTGAGGCAGGAAGAAAACCCGGAATCTGGTGTCAGCGAGGCCAAGCCAAGGAAAAAGTGTGTTAAGAAGAAAAAAAGTATAGACAATGTCAAAAATCTGTCCAAAGCAGAGTGATGAGAGGACCGAGATGCACTACTGTGTTTGCTGATGTGAACATCAGTGGGACCCTTGTCTCCATAGAGGTGTGGAAGGCAAATGTGTGATGGAAGTGGGCTAAAGGGAATGGAGAAAATTAGAATGTGGCGACGTCGTGTTTAGACAGTTTTGCTATGAAACGTGCATGCCACCAGGAGTGCTGATGGCGCTGTGCCAGCATGTTACAGACAGAGGGGATCCTTATAGGAGCTGACCATGGGGAAAAGGGACTTTCAGAAAGGAGTTTTAGTACGTAACTTAGGACAGTCTGGCATGGCTCTGTGTAGAAAAGTCAAAAACAAATTGGGAAAAAAAATGGCCTTTGTTGGCCGGTGGGTTTGTTGCTAAGGGAAGAAGGCAGAGCCAGGCTGTGTACCCCAGGCATTCCTTACCTTCGTGAATTCATCATGGCTCCAAGTTCAGCTCCCCAGGAACAGCTCCACCTCCCAGGGGTGGTTTTGTGTAACTCTGAGCTCACAGGACAAATGAAGAAATGGAACAGCCTGTGGGTTATTTCCAGAGGCAAATCTAATGGTCATGTGGAATGGAATACTTGCATTGGTATGACAAGCAATTTTTTTTCCTATTGGAAAACCCACTGGGGAAGTCAAAACAGCAGTGAAAATTCTAGATTACTAGTGGACTGAAAACATTATTCATAAAATCCAGGATGTTTAATTACTTGGAAAGCACAGAGTCGGAACAAAGGAATTTCGATAAATCCAACAATGACCGGCATCAAGCAAAGATGAATTCATTTCACAATAGGGATAGTCTTGTCAAAGGTGCAAAAGGATTAAACATCTATTGAGGCAACTTACTGTGTAGATCTCCAACATAGGAAAGGCCTTGCCAATGGGTGGGAAGTCTTGAAATTGTTCAGGCAAAAACCATCCTCCCGGATGATGCTCGGATGGGCTCCCTTTGCCTCGGTACACGTCAGTGCTTCCATGGCTAAATAGCCTTCCAAGTTTCCATCCTTTTTTCTTTTTGTATATATTTAAAGGAACTTGGACCTTCAGTTCTGTAGACCTTCAGAGTAAACATACATGAGAGAGAGAGAGATAGAGACAGAGAGACTATGAAAGGAGGAAGAAAGCAAACCAGTGGCAGGCCAGGTGAACAGACTTTGCTCATCACTTATGTTTTCTTAGCCAAATAATTTCTTCCTGGCTTTACATACTGGGTTTCTGGATAACTTCGTTTCCCTTTTAAAGAAAGGGTTCCTTTAGTTCATTTATTTATTTTTTAAGCTATCAGTTGCAATGCCTCTTTTCCCCCCATTACAGTCAATATTATTTTGTATTCGTGTCAGGTGTACAGCCTAGTGGTTAGATAATCATATACTTTACAAAGTGTTCCTCCTGAAATTTCCAGTATCCATCTGACACCATATAGGGTTACTGCAATATTATTGACTGTCTTCCCAATGCTGTACTTCATATCCCCATGACTGTTCTGTAACTACAATTTGTACTTCTTAATCCTTTCATCTTTTTTACCCATTTCCTTCCCCCTTCCCCCCCATGCCCAACCCGTCTGGCAACCATCAGTCTGTTCTCTGTGTCTCTGAGTCTGTTTCAATTTTGTTTGTTCATTTATTTTGTTCTTTAGCTTCCACAAACAAGTGACATCATATAGTATTTGTCTTTCTCTGTCTGGCTTATTTCACATAGCATAAAACCCTCTAAGTTTGTCCATGCTGTTGCAAATGGTAAGATTTCATTCATTTTTATGGCCGAGTAATATTCCGTTGTACGGGAGCTGTTTTTATCCACTTGTCTGTATTCATGGGCACTTGGGTTGCTTCCATGTTTTGGTTATTATAAATAACTAGAGGCCCGATGCACGAAATTTGTGCAAGAGTAGGCCTTCCTTCCCCAAGCTGTCGGCACTGGCTTTCCTCTGGCACCTGTAACCCAGGCATATCTCTGGCCACTGGCAGGCACCTGGGACCCGGGCTTCCCTTGCAGCCCCGCTTTGTTGGAAGGTCATCCAGAAGGATGTCAGTCTAATTAGCATATTATGCTTTTATTATTATAGATGCTGTAATAAACATAGGAGTGCATATATTCTTTTGAATTAGTATTTTGGGTTTCTTAAGGTATATACCCAGAAGTTCCATTTTTAATTTTTTGAGGATACTCCATACTGTTTTCCATAGTGGCTGCACCAGTCTTCATATTCAGCAATAGTGCACAGGTCCCAGAAAAAAGATTCCTTTAAATGTTTGAAAATTATTTTGGTAATATCACACTCATGACTTCCTGGCTCAAAAGTGCTTTCTCTGTAAAATGATTGTATGTGACTATTTTGACTCATCATGTGTCAATCCTACTGCTTAACAGTATAATAATATAATAAATGTCTTGGTTCCTTCGTTTTCTTTTTTTAAAATATATTTTATTGATTTTTTTTATTTTTATTTTTTTTACAGAGAGGTAGAGAGAGGGATAGAGAGTTAGAAACATCGATGAGAGAATTATCAATCAGCTGCCTCTTGCACACTTCCTACTGGGGATGTGCCTGCAGCCAACGTGCATGCCCCTGACCAGAATTGAATGTGGGACCTTTCAGTCCGCAGGCCGAAGCTCTATCCACTGAGCCAAACCGGTTTCAGCTTGGCTCCTTCATTTTCAACAACCCTTCCTAACTCAAAGGTAGTACAAGAGTCTCTAAAAATGGCCAACAGTGAGTAAGGTGGTATTTGGGGGTAGAAACTGCTTTGATCAAAGTAGAAACTGCACACATCAGAATTTTCAAAGGACACCTGCTCTGATTTCAGGAAATTTTATTCAGTAGGTGTTAGGAAGGCATCTCTCACGCATGTGTACTAAATGTCGAGAACCACTACCTTAAGTTCTCTCTCTGCTAAAGATTAAGATGGAAAAGTTAAGGGAAAGGGAAAACCATGTACGTTGGTGTGGTTATGTATATTGTTGTGCATATCATTGGAAAATTATGGAATAAAACTAGAAAGTGAAAAAACTGGGTCCATAAGCCACAGGTCGGTGCATTATTTTATACCCACTTTCTTACTAGCGACAGTGAGGGTTAGCAGTGTGGCTCTGTCTTCACTCAGAGACCTGGTAAATCTTCCCCTCACCTCTTTGATTCTTAGCATGTTTGCAGCAATTATTTTGAGCTGCTCTATATATAAATTTACTAGGTATTTGGGAAATTAACTCAATTTTATACCCAGAGGAGACAAGTGGGAGAAATGATGGCAGTAGTAATCACCATTAGCAAAAAAAATGCCCATGTTAATTATTTTCTAGTCTCAAACCTCAGTTTAAGAAAAGGAAAAAAAATTTTTTTAACAAGAGAAAAGTTCCCAGGAAGCCAGGAAGGTTTCACGTTTCAATTTCTTGAAAATCAAAAGCACCCAAGATGAAACAGGAAGAGAATCCGAGTTAAGACCACCCCATGGGTTTTTAAAAATATTTCCACGGAGCCACATAATGACTATACTGTGGTGAGCATACACACTGGCCTTTCAAGAATTGGATCACAGCCGAAACTGGTTTGGCTCAGTGGTAGAGCGTCGGTCTGCGGACTGAAAGGCCCCAGGTTCGATTCCGGTCAAGGGCATGTACGTTGGTTGCAGGCACATCCCCGGTAGGGGGTGTGCAAGAGGCAGCTGGTCGATGTTTCTCTCTCATTGACGTTTCTAGCTCTCTATCACTCTCCCTTCCTCTCTGTAAAAAATCAATAAAATATATTAAAAAAAAAAAAAAAAAAAAGAATTGGATCACAGCCATCTTGGTGTCACATCAGTAACAGGTTATAGCGCCAATGCTGCCTGTAAGTGGCTCATAAATCCAACTGCCAGCGAGGGACTCTCTGGAAGACGTTGTGAGAATGGTTATTTTACCTTCCTTGCTGTGCTTTGGGAAAGGCCTGCTTGTTAGTGGTATCACTTATTCTGTAGGAACATTTGTTTCCATCAGGAGATACTTTGGTGTTCATGTTTTCCCTGCTAGTGGTTTGCACTCATTCCTATAACTACCACCCAGACCATTTTGTTTTATGTAGAGATTGTAAGACCTACGTTAACTCTTTGAGGTACAAGATCATAATAATACAGATGTCACTTTAAAGGAGTTTAAATAAGTTTTGTTTTGTTTTGTTTTGTTAATGCATTACAGTTTGGACACATCTTTCAGCATCATTTTCTGGATGGAATTGTTTCTCCAGTTAGGCCTTAATGAATTTAGTCTGTGGTCCAGCTGTGCCTCCCAGGGTAGATTCGGCAGGGTTGCTTAGCCGTTCTTTTTCAGCCTGTTTGAATGGCTCTTCCTGTGCTCCTCAGTTCAAATCCCGTGCTGAAGAACATGTGGCCCGAAGGCAAACTGAGCATCACGGAGGTGACCAAGCGCCCTCTGACTGCCGCCACTTTATTTAAGAATTCTATGATCGCCTTGGTGGACAACCTTGCATCGAAGGTAATTCTTTTCTTTTCCTACTGCCCGTGATATACGTGAGAGAGAATGTGCTTCTGACTTGCTTTTTAGGTAACGATAGTAAATCAAATTGAAGGCTAGATATTTAAAGCAGATGTTGCAATAGAATTTTTATTCCTGGTGTGTGGTTTTAAGGTAATTAAGTTGTTGTTAATTGGAGCTAGGTAAAGTAGTTGTTTGTGTCCCAGGTAAAATTGTAAAAATGTAGCATAAATTATATGCCTGAACTTCTGCCCTGGGCTGTCACCAAGGACTGGGTTTTAAAAAAAAATAGTCTTGAATTAAATTGTAATACACCATCTGTATATTATATCTGAATACAAAATGGACCAAATAGAGTTTTAAGAGGTTTGGCACTTAAGTATTATCCTCATGTTGTTTTAAATAGTTGAAATAAAAAGATGTGTTATTGACCATTACGTCTGCTTTTTATTACTCCTTTGAGATCTAACCCTGTTTGATAACTTTAGTCTGTTTTTTTGTAAAGAACATATTTTTACTTTCAACTACTGCTGCTGACAGCTTTGATAAATTAGGCAGCATTCTGGGACTCATTATTTTTAATTCCTTCATTTTTATCTTCTGGTGCTTTTCCTGTGTCTTTTCTTTATTATTATTCTTTTTTTTTTAATCAACTTCCTCTTTAAGAATTTAAATCTATTCCATTTCTGGTCCCTGTGGATGAGTTAAGCAAATGCCACAAAATCATGTCTGATCAGTAGCTTTCTGGTTTTTGTTTGTTTTTTGTTAATCTGCACCTAAGGATATTTTTTCATTGATTTCTAGAGACAGTGGAAGGTAGGGGAAGAGAGAAAAACATCGATGTGAGAGAGGCACATTGATTGATTGTCTTCTGCAGCCTGCCCTTGACTGGAATTGAACCTGGGACCCTTTAGTCCTTGGGCTGACACTCTATTCACTGAGCCAAACCGGCTAGGATGCTTTCTATTTATTTTCATCAGAATTCTTTGGCCTCAAGTGACAACAAATAAGTGCAATTTGTTGGCTTATATAATCAAACCTCTAGAGCAGGAGGGGTGGAGACTAGAATTCATTAGAACTCTTCCTTTTGCTTCTCAGCTTCTCTGCATGTCAGCTTTAACCTGCCTCACCCAGCAAGAAGGAAGGCAAAACTCCCAGGAAAGCATGCAACACAGGAACTAGAGTTGAACAGAGGATTTTATAAAATATATTAGCTTTATGTAATTAACTAAAAAAGTATCACTTTTCTAAAATCAGTAGTTAATTATGCCTTTAAAAAATTAAAATATTAGAACCGTCTATCTTCTGTGTCAGGAATTGCAATCAGCTGCTAATAAAAGAGATCCCAGTTCATAACTTAGCCTTGAGAGAGATTTGTTCTCTCTCCTGTAAATGAAGTACAGAAGACGGTATCACGAGACTACTACAGCAGCTCTATGATCAGAGATCCAGGTTCCTTTGTCTTTCTGCTCCACCATCCTTATGTTTGTCATGTATCCTCTTGGTCCAGGAGGGCTGTACTGAGAGCTACCTCTCTTTTTGTTTTTTAATATATTTTATTGATTTTTTACAGAGAGGAAGGGAAAGAGATAGAGAGCTAGAAACGTTGATGAGAGAGAAACATCGACCAGCTGCCTCTTTCACACCCCCCACCGGGGATGTGCCCACAACCAACGTATATGCCCTTGACCGGAATCGAACCTGGGACCTTTCAGTCCGCAGACTGATGCTCTACCGTTGAGCCAAACCGGTTTCGGCGCTACCTCTCTTTTAAAGAGACTCCTGACATAGCCGGCATGGCTCAGTGGTTGAGCATCAATCTATGAACCAAGAGGTCACAGTTTGATTCCTGGTCAGGGTACAGGCCTGGGTTTCGGGCTTAATCCCCAGTGTGGGGCGTGCAGGAGGCAGCTGATCAATGATTCTGTCTCATTATTCTCTCTCTCTCTCCCTCTCCTCTCTCCCTCTCCCTCTTCCTTTCCCTCTCCCTCTCCCTCCCTCTCTGAAATCAATAAAAATAAATTAAAAAATAAAGAGACTTCCCAGAAATCTCCCACAGCCCTTCGGCTACATCTCACTTGCTGTATGTAGTTGACAGGGGAGCTGGGAAATGCATTTGTATTCTAGTCAGCAGTACACCCAGCTAAAAATAACTGTTCTGTTTCAAAGTAGGAGAAAGATACTGGATATGAGATAGGCACCTACCCCCACAGTCTTTGCTATAGCTCCCCAATCTGGGTGTTTACAGACCTGGGGGATGGGAGAGAGCATGGATAAGCAAAAGGATATACACAATAGGAGGCAGGAAGACAATAGGGGCAGAAACGGGGACATGTGGATTACATTTAGAAAATACAAAATAGTGTGAGAGAAATAAATTTACATAATTGGTACTCACCATGAATATAAATAGACTAAACAAACCAGATAAGTGGAAATCATTAATTAACACTATGCATGAATATTATAAACAAAGACGTATATTTTTTTTTAAAAAAACTGATTAAAGGCAATATTAATGTGAAAGAACATGGAATTTAAGAAAAACAAGTATTAACACAGAAACTGATAAGAATAAAATGAAGGTACATAAGACAGTAAAGTCATTTTGAAGTAGGTACCCAATAACATAGCCATGGTTATGCATGAACTGTATAAAGCAAAGGAACCTGAAAATTTTTAAAGGAAAAATGCATAAGGACACAGTCCTAGCTGGAGATTTCAAGCCAAATCTACCCAAAACTGACAGACATGGGAGCTGAGACAAAAACCTTAGGAAGAAGGCAGAAGCTTTGTCCTGGCCCCGTAGTTCAGTTGGTTAAAGTGTCCCCTGATATTTCAAGGTTGCATCTAGAGTGAACTAGAAACAATCCCCCATTATATAAAAGGGAAATTGCAGTGAGCCAGGAGGGGGTGGGTGAACATCCCTTGAGAATGTATTCTCATAAGGTAGCTTTTATGAGGTTTGCAGTCCACATTCCCACTACCTGGGTGGCCTGAAAAAGTTCAGGGCAGCAATTTAGTTTAAAGTGGTCAAGGTCTGGTGTCTCTGGGCATCTGATGTATGAAATGAGTACATTAGGGCTTCTACTTCAGAAATCACAGACGAGATCATTTAAACCCACATCCATGCTGGGGACATCTGGAGCACGCAGATAAAATATGCAGAACCTCTGCTTAAAGACACTGGAGAGATAACAAGATAGTGGAGAACTACTGGGCTGGAAGCCATGGAGAAGAGCCCATGTTTGAGACCTCCTTTCTCCAAGGGGGATTTGCCAACTGAGCAAGTGGATAGGATTTGAGTAGTGGTTCTGACAGCCTCATGGGGCTAGTGAGACAAGGGCTGGAAAAGGAAGAGGTCAGGGGTTAACCCCTCCCACTTTGGGTTAGGATCCCAAAAGGCTGCCGCTAGCAGTAAAAGTGAATCTGAAGTAGGCAGTCCTTCACAGGAACCGTATCATTTCAGCCCTGAATCATTTCACTCTTTAAAATTAGACGAGCTTATTTATTAGTGCCATTGGCCTGGGTTTTTCTGAAACTCACGATTTGTGGATTCATTTCTTTAGGAACCTTACTATGTACGTTGCATCAAACCCAATGAGAAGAAATCCCCGCAGATATTTGATGATGAGCGCTGCCGGCATCAGGTTGAGTACCTTGGACTATTGGAAAACGTGAGGGTGCGACGGGCAGGATTTGCCTTCCGCCAGGCATACGAGAAGTTTCTGCACAGGTGAGAATGGTCTCAACAAAGACACCTGCTAGCACAGAATTATAGAGTCCTAGTCTTCTCCATGTGGGACCGTGTATGCCTGAGCATCTGGATATCTGGTGAATGAACAATAGAGTTGAGGAAGCTGCAGGCGGACATCCCCCAAGGGGTTCTTAGCATTGTGGCAAGCCCTATGAGAGTGTGCTGACTACCAGGGGGGCAGTACCTGTGTTGAGCATCTGCCCCCTGGTGGTCAGTGCATGTCATAGCAATCAGTTGTTCCACAGTTCTGTTGATTTGCATATTAGCCTTTTATTTATATAGGATTCACAAGGTTTCTGATTTTGTTTCCTTTTTCCATATGATGTTGTGTAATGTCACCTCTCTCTTCATAGTCGAACTCTTTCATTGGGCTTCTATTTCTGTCCCTCTCTGGCAAGTGAGTAAGCTTTTAGATGTATTTCCTTCTGGTTTTATTTTGTTTCACTCAACAAATCTATTTCCTCATTGGATGGCAGACAACATAGTATATAGTGGGGAACAAGTCCCTACCTTCCTGATACCCACAGACTAACGAGAGTGGGCAAAGCCTTTCTCACTGTGACTTAAAATTCAGATACAGAGTATGAACATGACTAAATTTGACTCTATATATTGAACAAGTTTGCATCTGGGTTGGGGGAGCCATGGGGTAAGTAGCCATCTGAGCTGGTCCCAAGATCCCCACCTCTTGGAATTCACCCTGTCTAGTCCCCTTCCCTCTAGGATGGCCTGGGCCTGGTGACCTGCTGCTAGCAAAATGGAATGTGGGAAACATGATGGGCTGTCACTTTTGGGATTAGGCTGCAAAGGGCTTGACTCTGTGACTCCATCTTGCTCACACTCACACTCCTGTGAAGTTGGTGTGTATGGAGCTGCTCCATGAGAGGCCCACGTGGCCAAGAAGTGTTGGCTACTTGCACATAGGAGCACAGCTGATTTTTGTGTATTTGTCTTATATGCAGAATGCTGCTTAGTTTTCTTTCAGTGATAAGTTTTATCTGCTTGATTTCCTCTGAAGCAAGTATTGTGCATAAATAATGTTAGTTTTGCACTTACCCCAATCACTTACCTGTTCGTTTATTAGTCTCCCTGTGCTAGTTAGAAAACCTGTGTTAGGGCAACCCTGTCTTGTTTCTATCTGTGAAGAGAATGCTTCCAACATTGCCTCTTTACAAATGATATTGGCTGTGAAAAGCCTTTATTATATTCAGGAAGTACCCTTCTATCCCTGCGTTAGGAAGGGGTGTTATCATGAAGGATGTTGGATCTTAGTGAAGGTTTTTTCCCACATCTCTTATCAGGCTATGACATTTATTTCATTCCTAATTTCCAGAGAAGGTGTTTTTTTTTCTCTCTCTCTGTGAAGCATCTTGAATTTTTACAGAATGGTTTTTCTGCGTCTATTGAGACCACTTGGTTTTCCTTCCTTCACCCGTGCCCTGTTCTTGGTTCACCAGGTATAAGATGATCTCGGAATTCACCTGGCCCAACCACGACCTCCCTTCAGACAAAGAAGCTGTGAAAAAACTGATCGAGCAGTGCGGCTTCCAGGAGGACGTGGCTTACGGGAAGACCAAGATTTTCATCCGCACACCCCGCACCTTGTTCACCTTGGAGGAGCTCCGCGCCAAGATGCTCGTGAGGATCGTCCTCTTCCTCCAAAAGGTAATTGTTCGTTTTGCAGACAGGGAGGAGGCCCTGCCATGATGTTCTCAAAAATCTGTTGAACCTTTTCTTTGATTCAAGAAATGTTCCTTATGGTATTTTTTTTATATCAACACATACCTTATAGAGTGTTTTCTGTTACCTTCCCACGTGGAAAACTTATTTGGCTGTCTTAGCTCCAAATTACTTTATCCTCACAATGCTGGAGGCATTTTGTCGTCTGTATTTAACGTTGGAGAGATGTCTGAAACATCCTGTTTTTGTCTCTTCTGTTAACTGAGCTGTTTCTCTCAGCTAAGCTGCATAAGGAACTTCCTTTAATTTTATTTTGTCATTCAAAAGTTTTGCCCAGATGTTTGAAACAGCCTCCTTCACCCTGCATTATCCACCACCTGCACTGACTGAGGTGTGCATGTGGGAGTCAAGATGCTCATTAGATCCTGGTACCCACCCCCATTGATCTGCCCATAGCCCCCCTTCTCGTTTCATTCACTCACTCATGTGTTTTTTTTCATTCCCTTACACCTATTTCAGACCTTCCATAGGAACCCTTTTAGTGTAAAATATTATATGTGTACATAAAAAGGAATCCTGTGTCTCTGGGAGAATGTCCCCGGCATATATACGGACCTGGAGAAAGGGGCCTAGGTCATTGGGTAGGTGCAGACCTAATTGGTATAAGGTGTGCCAAGTTCCTCTCCAAAATCCCTCTGTCAGTCTGCACCACCACCAGCTGTCTATGGGGGTTGCTGTGTGCCCACATCCTTACAGTATCTCCAGCTGCCTATACATTTTGCCAGACTGGTAGGTATGATATCTCACCGTTGCACTTTTCAGTTCTCCATTTGCCATGGCATTTGAGCATCTCGTTGAATACTCGTTTGCTTTTTGGTTTTTCCTGTAAACTGCTTGTTCATATCCTTTGTCCATTTGCCTACTGGAGTTGGTATCATTTTTTTGTTGTTTATCAGGAATTTTATGAATATTTTATACATAAATCTTATATTCACTTTAGACATTATAAATATATTCTCTTATTCTGTATGCATTCTTATGCTTTTATAATGTGCTTTGTGGAAGATGATTCTTAATTTTGAGATAATCAAATTCTTCAGAATTTCATCTTATATTTCGTGCTTTGGAATTTTGTTTAAAGGGGCTTTTCCTAGACCTAGCCTGTTTGGCTCAGTAGATAGAGCGTCGGCCTGCAGACCGAAGAGTCCCAAGTTCATTTCTGGTCCAGGGCACATGCTTGGGTTGTGGGCTCGATTCCCTGTAAGGGGGCATGGGGAAGCAGCCGATCCATCAATGATGTTTCTATCTCTCTCCCTCCCTCTCCCTTCCTCTCTGAAATTAATAGGAATATTTTTTTTTTTAAGAGAGAGGGCTTTCACTCTTTCCAGGTCACAAAGATACTGTCCTGTATTTTCTTCTATGAACTATGTATGTTTTACCCTTCATGTGTAGATCTTTAATCCATTTATAATCCACCTGTGTACGTGGTTTTAGATAGAAACCCAGTTTCGTTTTCTTCTGTATGTTGAGCAGGTTTTCTCAACACCATCTACTAAACAACCTGTCTTTTACCCACTGATTTTATTATATGATAAAAAATGTATATTCTCTTTCTGAGTGCTCTGTTCTGTTTTTATTATCTGCCTGTTTTTGCATTAATGCTATTCAGTTTTTATTATAGCATGTCTTAGTGTATGGTAGGATAAGTCCATCTTCTCTACTCTTCTTTATTAAAGTCAATTAACCTGTATATAGACTTTCATTCTGCAGTATACATTTTAATGTGTGTTTATTGTGTTCATTAACTTCAATAATACTTTTTCCTAGGATGGAATTGAAATTGGAAAGGATTAACATTTTTACAATAATAAATCATTTTAAGGGTATAGACTTGGCTTTCACCTTTGACTGAGAGATTCCTTATGAATTCCTGGTTCATTCTAGATATTTTATTGTTTTTGTTACTGCGGTGGGTGAATTTTTTATTATATTTTCTACATGGCAAAGTTGACACAGAGAAATAATATTGGCTTTTATTGATGGACCTGTATCCCGATGAAACCTTTCTTGACTTATATTTGCTGATTCTGATAGTTTTCATGGGCAAATGATTCTATCGTGTGCAAATAATGGACATTTTCTCTTCCCAGTTGCCAAGATGTTCCTAAGTGTTGGTCTCTTTCGTTTATTTTGCCTAGAATTCGGAGGAACTCGGGGTGAAATACTAAATTCTGTTGCATCCTAAAATAGTTTCCTTCTGTTAATTGGCGTGTGTTTTTATATTGCTTTTTCTCAGTTCTGTTTTCTTTCCCAGTTTACTGCTAGTTGACAGGTTTGGGTCTCTGTTTTCTGTCTGCCAGGGTGCATTATTTCTATATACCAATTCTTCAGTATTTTCCAGTGATGCTTCAGTTGTTGTTTTGCAGATCTGATACTTCTTGTTCTTTATACTTATCCAAGAGGTTGACTCAGCTTAGGGTGCACCTGAACCATCATAACCATACCTCTCAGTTTGCTTGGGACAGTCCTGGTTTATGACTGTTGTCTGTTGTAACTCTTAGCAGTACCCCTTCACTCTCAAAACTGTCCCAGTATGGATAATACACTAAAGAGTCACCATCCCCTGAACTCCTTTCTGTCGTGTGATGGCTGATAGAATCCTCTTCTTAAACCAAGTAGTCAGTATCCCACAGACTTTAGCCTATTACAGCTCTGCTAGCCATAAGTAGGACTCACGCCTCTCCCTCCCACCCCGCAGCCAAGCCTTACATAAATATTGTCATTCCAGCCCTGGCTGGGTGGCTTAGTTGGTTAGAACATCATCCCATACACCAAAAAGATCTGAGTTGGATTCCCAGTCAGGGCGCATACCCGGTTATAGGTTCGATTCCTCATCGGGATGCATGGGGAAGGCAACTGGTCGATGTTTCCCTCTCACATTAATGCTTTTCTCTCTCTTCCTCTTTCTAAAACCAATTAAAAGAACCCTGAAAAAAATTATAATTCAGCTATACACACCTATAAGGGTCCTTCCTTTGTAAGTCTTCCCTACAATACCTCTGCTTCCTTTCTGATGAGAAATGAGAATTTCTACCTAGAGAAGAGATTCTAAAAGAAAAGGGACAACTGTCCCAGAAACCACCACCGATGCCTGGAGAGCAAGCTTCTCCAGTCCTCTTGGGATGCAAATCTGGCGATTCCTAACAAGGAGACAGTACAGGCAGGACTACTCTGGGACTTGACTTCTACGATCTACTGATTGTGTTCTTTAAACGACTCCTCAAGCCATGAAATTAGTGGAAATTTCTGTCAGCTTCTGCGAGTAGGCTGTCAGTTACCTAACTTTCCACGGGATGTTTTCACTTTCTCTATTTTTGTAAGAATTTAATGGAAAGTTATGAGAGACAGCATCAAAGATGCTATTTTTAAACAAGAATCTCCAACCATCGGTTTTTATTTCTTTTTTCAAGAAAAAAATAGCTTTATCTTTTTTTCCCCTGATTATCTCATTCAAGTACTCTCACTGTAAAAACAAGTTCAGACCACACAGGAAAGTATCAGGGAACTGTGGGAAATCTCCTAAAATCCCACCGTCCCAAAGTAACGCCATGAACATTGAGGTCACTATCCTTTGCCTTATCTTTCTGTGCGTGTATCCAAGCAGAGATGCTGGAATAGAAATGAGATCATAGATCATCTCTGTGGTGATTCTATCGACGCACCTTTCTCTTTTTTTACAATATTTAATACCTTCTCCATCCACAACTTCTCCTCCCTCCTGTGTCCGGTTCCCCAACTCCATGCCCCATCTCAGTGATTCACTGAAAGGACCCCCAGGACTCAGTATCTAGTTGTGCTGATGAGCAAAACGCATTACCCCAAAGAAATGGAAAAGGCACATGGGGTGAGGTCCAGAGGAAACCAGGAGTGAGCTTCCAAGAGTCCTCTCCCCGTGGGGACCCTCAGAATATGCCGAGTCCCTCCCAGTGAATTGTGACATGTGCCAAGTGGTATCTTCTAGGAAGCTTATTGGAGCCTCGGTGCCCAGAGTTTTGTTGGGGGGCGGTTTATGTAGGTACCACCTGCCCAGATTCTCATAGAATCTCAGGTATTCAGCATAGACCTTGTTGTAAACCATTGCTATTTAGGGCAAGTTTGATATCAGTGTGGGAAACTGACATCCACCAGCCGAGGGCCAACCAACCTTACTTACCAGCAGGCCTAAGGGTAGGAGTCTCAGGCCTGCTGTTACCCTCTCCCCTCCTTCCTCCCTCCCTTCCACTCTCTCTAAAAATCAATGGGGGGGGGGGGAAGATACCCTTGGGTAAAATTAGCAAACAACAACCAAAAAGATATATTACTAGTATGTTTGTAATCATAATAGATGTTAACAATTCACATTTCTGCTCATCCTGTAAGTGAACTCTTTTCTCTAAGTTTTATTTGCCACAGTGCTCTTGATTCCTTTAAGAGCAATCAGTTTTGGCCCCAGTCAGGGCACATGTAGGAAGCAACCAATGAATGCATAATTAAATGGAAAATCTCTCTCTCTCTCTCTCTCTCTCCTTCCCTTCCTCCCTCCCTCTCTCTCCCTCCTCTCTCTCTCTGTCTCTCTCAAAATCAATCAATCAATAAAATTTAAGAACAGTCAGTTTGGGAGGTTCCGGTTTTAGTAAATATCCCTAATTCTGCCTCTTCCAACTTGCCATTGAAAGGCACAGAAAAATATATGAATATACACTGAAAACTAGGTTCTCACAGGCTAAAACCTGTTCTGATGTGCTGTGATAAACACAGTATGATATTGGCATAGGAATTCACTGTGGTATATAATAGTGAGTCCTGAAATAGATTTAAGTCTAGGTGGGAATTTAATGGTAGACAAAGACAGAATTTCAGTGTGGTGGGTGGAAGAGAGGGGGGAACACAGGAATTTTTTATTAAATAGGTTTACAATAGCTGGTTATTTACCGAGAATAAAACAG